ATAATTCAATACAGCCTATTCTGCAGTCTCTGGCCCTTGGACACTAATCCAGAGGCTAATAAAGCAGTAATCCCCTGCTGATCCGCAGGCTCCGTTTCCCCCGCTCGGCCCCACATCATTGCTCCTGGCTGTATCAGCTCTCGCCACCCTCAATCTCCCTTCCTTGCCTGCTCCCTCACACTCCCCTCACTGGGGTGAGATTGTAGCTGCCTTTTAGACCTCTCCTCATCTGTTTATATTTGGCTGTTTCAACCTTGCCTCCCGAATTGTTGCTATCCCTAAGCACAGGCTATTTATGTGGATTTTGGAGTCTAAAAATCTCCTGGTGCCGCAGCAGCAGGTTTCCCCCCCCCCTCCCTGGGTGCCCAGACCAGCCCCAGGAGGGGATATGTACAAACGAGCTGATGGGAGGTCCTGGTAACAACATGACAGCCTCCATTCGCCCTGCCAGCAGCTCAATCATGTGGAACGGGAAGCTGTAAGTCATGCCATGATTGTCCGACCCTCCGGTGCACTTAATCTTCCCGTAAGCACTGCTGACAGCTGTGGGTTGGGATGAAACAAGGGAAGGAGACCTGTAGCTCCCGACAGAGCTCAGACCCAGGCCAGGCCTCTCTCCCATCCAGTCTCTGGGTGGCCACCACCAGACCTCACAGAGAAGGTGAAAGATGCAGCAGCACTGATCTTCTGCATTAGTCATGAAGAAATTATTCTTATCAATGCATAGAAATTCACTGAGGAACTGAAGCATAAGGCTTAGCTTACTATCAATACATATTTACTCTGAGCCCTCTGGATATTCTGTCACCCCTCACATCCCAACCCAAACGAATCTTGCAGAGATCCTGCTTTTGGTGCTGATTTGGGACAGGGAATTAGTTTTACAGCACGCTCCCATTTAGTAATGATTTGGAGCTTAGTTCCAGAACTTGCTGTCTTTTAATTTTATCTGTTGTCCTCTGAATAAGGTGCTGTATTTTAGGCATCCCAAAGAGGCTGGTATAGGGAGGGCTGAAATACTTTTTCCCGCACCTTGGAAACACACCCCCATGGCCCACCACTGGAGTTTGCCACAAGAGTCAAAGGGAGAAGAATACAGGGGCCTTAAGAGGATATAGGAATAGAAATATCAAATGCTCCCAAGAGCCAGCTTGTAAGCACAGATTATTTGCTTTCAGCAGGTGTCTCAGGATGTCAAAGAGCACTTTTGCCAGCGATGAGCAGAAGGGTTGCAGAGTACTTGACTGTGCAGGCTGCCAAGCAGCCATGAGCTCTCCCCTTTGATTTAGGGGACACAAAAGGCTCCTCGTTCTATGTGAATTTAACTTCTATACGCCAGTTTTTAAGACAAAGCACTTAGAGATCTGTACTCCAAATTACATGCAGATTAATGGAATACAGTAGAGCCACAGCGGTCTCCCTGACTGTGGAATTACTATTTAAAGATTAAGAATCTGACTGCAGTCCTCATTTTTAGCCTGTCCCTCCTGGATCCCTTTCATCCTCCTCACTGTCTGGATGCCAAGGAAAATGGTTGCTCTATGAAGGTCTACAGGTTGGGGTGTTTCAGCTGCTTCTTTCCCACTGGCGAAGGAGGAATAAAAATGCAAGAGCACACAAGTCATAAGCAAGAGGATTGCCTTAAAGATGCATGAGATCTCTAAAGCCATATGCACTATAACTACATATAACAGAGACTTTAACACTAAAACCCCATCTAAAAGCCTCCAACCCTCAGAGAGGCTATTCGTCGCTGTCCATTAGAGGTCACTAGCATCCAGTCACAGCAAGAGCCCAGCCCCTGCAGATGAAATCCCCAGCACCAGACCTCCAGCCAAAAAATAAAAATAAAAAAATCTTTACTCCCAACCTAAGAGGCAAACCAGACAATTCATCCTTCTTCATGCTATGTTATGTGAGAGAGGAAAACCTTCAGGTGAGAAAGATCTTCATCTGCATTGCTCCTGGCTACCTGTTGGCCCTGGACAGGACACGTCTGTATCTGACAGCACTGTTGTGGACAGGACATGAGGGGTCGATGGAGCCACATTGCCACACCAACATCTGAAGATGCAAAAGCAAGGCTGTGACCTCTCCTGACCCCATCACTCACTCCCCCCCAGGGATGCCAAACCCATGACAGCAATCACTCCCCACGGCCACCTTGCCACTAATTGCTCCTCCCCTGGAAATAGCCTCTGTCCTTAAGCACCTCACGAGCTCATTTGATATTACAGTCACAGCATATGCTTGCTGCATCCGTGCCTCTATATGCTCCTTACGAAGCCCTTGCAGCATGAGGATGCAGCGCACGGAGGGGGACGGAGAAGGGAAGGATATTTGAGTGCTGACTGGGCTGTCCTCCTGATGAAGGACAATGACAAGCCAGGATTCATCGTCCGCAGCTGCTGCTTCCATTTAACTGCTTATGATGAATATTTACAGAAGGGGAGGGGGAAATCATGAAATTATCTGATTTTTTTTTTTCTTTTCCAGCAGGCTTTCTTCCAGAGAAGAGGCCATTCTGACAGCCACCCAGGGTGCCTCCCAGCCCTCCGTACCGAGTTTGTATGTGCACACACACTTCTCATCTGCCTCAGCGCTGACCTGCGGAAGGCTGAGGGAGGAGATCAGAGAAGTCAAAGACTGATGAAGATGCAGCTCGATGCTGCATTGATTTTGGTGACCTGTCACTGGCAGATCCAACCCGAAGCTCAGTGCTGTTAGGCAGCCTGCTCCCAACCCTCCGCTGGTGTTTATGACTCAGCGTGCTGCTGACCTGGGCTGGACCCGCAGTGTAACTGAGCCCCAGAGGCTCAGGGTCTTCCCTCTAAAGACAGCTGCTATCTGACACTTCACCACCACCAGGCAACCCGCTGCATTAACTGAACTCCCCGGGGGCTGTGCAATAAATCTGCCTTTACTTCATGCTCACCCTCACCCCAGGCAATGCTTGTAAGAAAGACCACAGCTTGGCCAGGCTCATCTCATTGAAAAGATGCAGTACAGCTGCATCAGGGCTTTACCAGATGGGATTCTCAGGAAAAAAACATTTATTTCCCCGCCTTGCTGTCTTCTGCACCTCAAGAAGGATAGTCAAAAACATGGGATTTCATTTTGCTTCTTCTCTTCTGATACATGCATCCCCTTGTACAGCTCTTTATTCCTCCTTGTTTGCTCAGGTTTTGCACACAGCATACCCCGTTCTCCAGTACACACTTGCAAGTGCTTTGAAACAGTCCTCAAGGGGAAGGTTGGGCAGCCCGCACTTCTGAGCACTGTTTTTGGAGAAAACACAGGCAAGTTTACTTTGTTGTGCTTTCCCATGGGGACTGCAGCAGCAGCAACCTGTAGGTTTGCCCTGTCCTTGGCACCTGCCACGATATTTGGGTTTGGGGAAGAAGACAGACTCCTGCTGGAGGAGCAGGTGAAGCAGTGCTCTGTTTTTTCAGTATTTCACCAACTTGGAAGAGCCTTAGCCCCAGGGCTCCATTCTCTCCCATCAGAGGGTATCAACAACTCTCCAACAGGCTCACAGAAATACAGCTTCTTCAAGCTCCCACCTGTATGGCCAACAATCAACCCCACTCTGCTCTCTAGTCAGCCCTGGGCATCACCCATCAGGTTTTTACAGCTTCTCCCCCCAGCTGTGGAGGATGGGAGCACATTGTGAGCACAGGCATTTTGTGCAGACACCGACGGTTGTGGGTGGGAGGGTGTCTGAGCAGGAAGATGACCCCCTCTCACAGAGGCTCAGCAGCTTGGAAGAGTTTTCCTTGAGGGGAGAGAGCAGTACAAGCACAGGATTGTCCCTGTCAGCCAGCTCATTTGCCGTACCCCCATCCAAGTGAGTGGGAGAGAGCTGTCTGCTTGCATTGAAGTGGCTGCACTACTGACGAGCTGCAAGCCAGCAAAGAGTTCACTTGGGGAAAAACCATGAAGCACGGCAGGGCAGCAGAGACCTTTTTTAAACATGTTTGTCTTTTGATAATCACAGTAATAAGATCTCTGGTGGAAAAATTATACCTAATAAAAAGTTCAAGAATTCCAAGGAGAGATTTGAAATTAGACTGAGACCAATTGGTAAAAGCCTGGGACTTACTCACTGGCCATCAGTATGTTAATTCACGATGTACTTGAAAGAAGAACATAACCTCAAAACTCCGGAGTTACAAAAGCATTACTGCTAGGAGGATCAGGTGAAAATGGTGGTGGTTACAGCCACCCATCTTTTGGGAGGGCAGGAAGGAGCAGCTGGTTTGAAATTTGCAATTGCAAGAATCTGCCTCAAGTCTTGCAGTCATTAAAGCTGGTCAGCCTGGATTTCCATGGAAAGCACTTCCACCAGGAGATCCAAGCAAACGAAGAGGACGGTTTTGATGGAGAAGCGCACAGTCAAGCACAAGCAGAAATACGAGGGAGGTGGGCAGGATGCCAGGAAAGCACTTCCCCAACAACTCAGGGCAAGCTCAGACAGCTTTGGGTGCAGAGAACAGGCCAGGAGAGATGCACAGACTTCTAAGCAGCTACATTTAGGTGAGTAGGACCTTGCAAATACACCTCATCAGTAAAGACACACCAAGGACAGGTTTTCTTTCACTATCACGTGTTGGAAAAAACCCTGCACTCCAGCTGCTCTGGTTAGGTGGTGGCAAAGGCTGCTGAAGAGATTTTGGGGCATGTTGCCTCCCTTCCTGCCATGATGCCAACCCCAGCAAGCAGGAAGGGCTCTCAGCATCACTTTGGGTATGGGGTACAGAGCTGCTGCTGGTGCTCAGCACTACCACCTCCAAGTCCAGGGCCCATAAAAATCACAAACATCAATCAATGAACACATGAGCACAGTCATAAGATTTGACTCCGGGCCTCTAGCCGAGGCATCCCCAACCCTAAACCCACCTAAGACCATCAGTACAGAGAAACCAAGACGCAGCATCGGGCAATGAGACTGCCAACCCCCCCCCTATTCTCCCAGCACACAGGCAGATGAACAAACTTACCTTTCACTCCTTCCTTCACTAACTGTCTCATCGCCATAGCAACTGTAATCCTAGGTCATGCAAGCTAGGAAAAAAAATAAATAAATAAATATGCAGCGCAAATGAAGATGTACGCTATCGCCAAACACAGCCTCAGTGGTAGAATCTAATTTTCATTAGAGACATAACAGTGGTTCTGCATAATTATACATATATTAATGCCCAACATGCCCATCTTCAGTTAAAATTCATGAATTCAGTTCTAAATAAAAAGCATTGCTCATTGCAGATATTTTTTTTCTCCTTTAAAAAAGTAGAAATCACTTCTAAAAGCTCCAGTCACACTTGCACGGCAGTTTCTTAATCCTGAGATTAACAGGGAGAGCAAAATGCAAAGATTAAGCCAGCTCTCAAGTAGAAACATCACATAAAACACAACAGGGGAGTTTGCTGCTTTTACAAAATGAGGGCAGAAAGGGAGCAGTAATAAAAATAAATAAGTCAGCAGGCTCTGGAGCATACCTGGAACTGAGACCCAAAGGAAGGTGTCTGGTGGCCTCTCCTTTTGGTGCTTGCAGGGAAAGCAGTGCCACAGCTTCACGCCGAGGAGCAACACGTCCCCGCGAGTGACTGAGCGCAGGTTTGGCTGACACCAGCATTTACTACATTGCTCGAGGTCAGCATTTACAAGAGGAGGTTTATTTACTCTGATAGAAACACACAGAGACCAGGCAGCAGTGCTAAGGAACAGCCCCAGCCAAGGAAGCCCTAGAGAGCAAATAAACCCTTCCCCTCCCTCCTTCTCCGTTCTTATCTGCTTCTACTACCTCCAGGTTCCTTCATTACTCACAAATTGCAAATGACCTTAGGCTGGTTGCCAATTTCCCTCTTTATTACTGAGTTTCTAGGTGGGCCTTGTCTGAGGGAGGGGGGAAGTCTTGATGCTGGTGAGATCCCACCTTCCCTAAACCTAGGTGCCTGGAGGGGACTTATTGCTACCAGCAGTGGCAGGGACCCGTGTACCTAGAGGATTTGGGGCATGACAGCAAGCTCTCATGTTGCAAGCACACACACAGCTCGGGGGATGCTCTCAAAGCCTTGACTCGGTAGAGCTGATATTAAAATAAATGCAACTTCTTTGGTCACTGCTTCTTTAATTGTACTGATACCCTAGCTAGGGAGTAAAGGGAGAAGCTACTACATGGACTTGTCTCCACAAAGGCTTGTTTAATTTCTTGCTTACAGGAAAGGCACAGCCTAGAATACAAGGGGGAGAAGAGCTGGGCTCAAGGGCAGGATTTGGGGCTGGAAAATGGTTGGGGGAAGGAAAAAAGAGGGAATTGGCAGCAAGGAATGGAGAGATGAGATGGAAAGATGTCTGTCCAAAATGACAACCCAAATCCCTTGTGGTTGTGAATCCCCAGCTCCTCATCATCCCTTGCTGTTATTAGCACACAGAGGAAGAAGAGGCTGGGTATAAAGCGTGTGGGGAAACACTCCCTTCTCACCTGGGTTTCTGGAGGAAGGGGAGGGAAACCTCTGTGTCCAAGCCCATGTCCACCCTGGCCAGGTTCTTGCTCATCTGGGGCCTGACAGAGTCCCACTGGGCAGCAGCTGGGAGCTCGGTGGAGGGGAGAAACCACATCCTCTCTTAATGCCTCCACCTCCTCATCCTGCTGGCTGGCCTCTGGCTGGGAAGCAGGTCAAAAACACACGTACATGTGTCTTGTGGCAAAAACAGCTCTTCCATAACTCTGCTCTATACCTAACCTGGATATGCTAAGCGAGAGAGCCTCGGCTCCAGCACCTGGCCCTTTAATTGCTGCCATGAAGGGTAGGGATGTAGGCAATCCTGAGGCCAGCAAAGCAGAAAATTAGCATTTAGCGTGAAATGATACCACTGCATCATCACCAGCGCTACAGCAAACACCAGAACGGGCTGGGCTGCCTCCTTGCCTCCCTACCTGCATGCTCGGAGCTGCTGGGTGCTGCCGGGGCCCCACAGCCTCCTGCACCCATGGGTGCTGCCTTTGCAGGGCTGCTACCGGGGACTCAGCGAGCCGGCACCCGCTTTCTGCCTCTGGACTTGTGATGAATCAGATTTTATACACTCGCTTCTGAGATAATCCTCCCTCAAATGTCAGAAGTGCCACATTAGCCGCTGCATTGATTCCTGCAGGGTTTTCAGAGCAAGAAAAATGCAGTGGCAGCTAGCGGGAGGCTGGAGGGAAGAAACCTGCACCTGCAGGGTGTCCCTGGGGGTGAATCAGCCCAGTCTCAAGCCGGGATTCAAATCTTCACCTCCTCCAGACCCTTAACTAGCTTTCTCCGTCATTATTGCAAATTCCCCTCGGGCCTTTTCACCTCTTTGTTACGCAGGCTGTATTTTTGCCTGGTTGGACACAAATAAACATCACAAGCACAAAAGGGAAGGCTGTTTACTGCCCAGGCTGGGATGGAGCCAGCAGCCCTGGCTTGGGGGTCCCAGCGGCTTGGGGGCTGGAGCTGAGGGGCAGCAGGCAGTGATCAGGAGCTGGGGGGCTGTGGGTGAGCCACGGAGGGGTTTGGGACCGTTCAGCCTTGCCCATGGCAGAAGTGCCTGGGACTGAAAGCAAAATGCTGCGTTATGGGTCAGACCGTGAGCAGGCTGCAGGGCGTCGGGGTCTGGGTGCTGGCTGCCTCCGTTTTGGCATGCAGACCCCTGTGGGTGCTCAGGTGGATGATAACTGCCCCTCTGAACCTCTGAGATCCGCAATTAAGATCCTAAGTAATTGCAGTATGTAACAGTTTGGGCTCTTTATTGCCTCAATATGCACTTTTTAAAAAAGAACCAGTGGCAGATCTGCTTATAAACCACAGCCACATGCCTGTGCCTACAAACATGTGCGCACACACACGTGCACAAGGCAACAGCGGCTCTGAGACCCTAAGGAATAAAACCAGACACCAGTGTATTTTCAAAATAGCCTCTCTCTCTCTCCCTCTCTCACTAGTTCAATTAGATGTTGTTTGTTACTTTTTCTTTTTAATATATGTATATATATAATTTTCCAATTTATTTCCTACGCCTGGGCTTACTATAACATCAGAAACTAATCAGTGGCCAACTGATTAACAGTCTTTCCCGTGTTATTAACTTTCTGTTTGATAGAAGGTCATTTTTAAAGGCTGTGGCAAGAAAGTTAAGTGTACCTGTATGTGTGAATGTGTGGGGAATATGTAAGTGGAGGGAACACACACCCCAATGCAGAACTTTTATCCGGGCCACCCCTTCACATCACTCTTGACTCTTTTTTAGAAATACCTATTATTATCCAGCATGTATGTAGCATTTCTGTGCGCAGATTGTATCTTGAAACAAAACCCTCACAAGGCTCAGATAAGGACGTGGGTGAAGAGGTGTGTAAATTGGAACATAAATTAACTGTGACGTCTTAATTGAGAGGAGAAATGGGGTCATCTGCTTTCATAGCTATCATCCCAGAAAAGATTAGAAGCAGCTAAAGGTGACAGCAGTTATTTTAGAGGAAAGCCCACCTGGTACTTCATATCCAAAGCTGTGATAGCTCGAGGGCAAGGCTCTTCCCAAGGACTGGCAGGGTAATAAAGATGCCTGCCTGTGCACATACTGTGTACCTCGGGTTCTTGCATGATGTCTCCCCTCACGCATGGGCTGGCAGCTTTCTCCTAAGAAGGCACTTCACAATTTAAGAACAAAAGCTTGGATTAAAGTTGTTTCACTGAAAAATATTTTCTCTCTGGCTTGCCATCACTGATGGTTTGTTTTGAGGTGACATCTGCGCCCATATGGGTGTTTGTGCCCAAAGGAGGTGCGGCCACCCTGCTTGCTCGTGCTGGTGGTTGCTTGCCCCTCTTTTGGAAATGCTCTGCCAGCTTCTGCTGTGGAAATACAGCAACATGGGGGACATACCCTGCCATCTGTGTGATCCCATCAGAGGCACGAGTGAAAGGGCAGAGCCCTTGTTGCTGTGATGGCTGCTGGAGCAGAAGAGGCATGCTGAAAAGTGGTGGCTGGGCTGCTGGTTTTGGTGGGGGTGAGAGCTCTTCTCTTGTAAATTGAGCACATCTGCTCTGGAAGTGGCCGGGAGGCATAAATATTGAACATCACATTGCCAGCTCTTGTTCAAAGTGTGTCAGGATCTTAGCAGAAATAAACACGGGGCTTGGAAATATGCAGAAGAAGGGAAAAGTGCTAGAGAAGAAATATATATATCTAAATGAGAGGGAAGAAATGAATGATAATTCAAAGATACCGACGTACTGAGCTCCTACTGGAAGCCAGTGCCTAGCAAGGAACAAAAATAACATGGAAAAACTGAGAAGTAAGGCAGAGCTCATAAAATAAAGTATTCATGAAGACCAGGGAAGTGAATATTTGGAAAGTCAGATCACATGCAGATAAACTGAACTGGATGGCATACATCCAGGGGCCTGACTTTGCAAAGCACTGAGCACCTCCTACAAGGTGTGCTGCACGTTTTGTATTTCAGCCCACCAGAAAATCAGCGGGGTTTAATTTTCCTCCTCTCTGTGAAGTGCTGGTGATGAGAACAAGAAAATTGAAGCTGCCTACCTCCACATGTTCTGTAATAAAAGTTTGAGTTTTCAGTTGGCAACTGGCAGCACATTGGCCAAAATAACTCTCTGCTTCCAAACCAGTGTTACGACACCTTTTGCTCTCATTGTGCGGGTGCAGAGGACATCTCCTGTGGTGTCTTGAGGGCACCTCACTGGCTGGAGACCTGAATGCACAGCAGTGCTGACTTCGTAAGAAAGGTGATAGCCAGAATGCTGGTCATTGCTTCCCGTGTTTCTAATTTCATAAGGAAGCTTGTGGTAGTTGGGATGAGGAAGACAGATGAAGATGGAGAAGCCAGGAGAATTAACTCCAGCAGTTCGTGTGGAAGTACTGGGAAAGGGCCTCTGGGCGCAGAAGAAATACTAAATACTGGTGTGTTTTCCATGGGCAGTTCAGAGCAGGTGAGAAGTTTGGGTGCTGCTCTGGAGCTGGACTGGAGGATGTGGGAAGACAGGAAAATGTACGTGGAGGACTTAGAAAAAATGATGAAAGCGGTGGAGAAACTGTTTCACAAGGCAAGGTGGAAAGAGCTAAATGCATCCAGCTTGTTAAAGCAGGACGAGAGCACGTGGAGGAGCTTGGCTTCAAGCAGGGCGAAGAGATGATCTTGGTGACAAGTGTGGGGAAGAGCAGGGTGTGAAGGTGGTGAGGCAGTTTGACACAACAGAGCGATCTTGGGCTGGCAACGGCAAGGAGCTTCCTAGCAGGAGCTGCTGCAAAGCGTTCCCCCGTGGGAAGCAGGGAGTAGGAGAGGCTGGGCAGATCCTGGGCTGCCCTCAGGTGTTGTCTGGGAGGTGGGCGGGTGATGATGGAGGTTTTTGCTGGTGCTGACAGCTGGGAGAGGCAGCTTTCACCAGGAGAAACCACGCAACCTGCCCCGCTGCAGAGAGCCCCAGATACACAAGGTGTTTGCTGGGTGTCAGCATCCTGAGTCCTCCTCCTTGGGAAGGACGGATGTTTCCTCCTTCCTCTTCAAACAGTTAGTAAATAATTTAAAGAGAGAGACAAAATATTCTCTAAAGATAACCTACTCTTCTGTTTCCATGGCAACCTCCTTCCAAAGCCAGAAGCCTTCCACTGGAGTCGTACGGTGCAGGGTGAAAGTCCTCTCGTGGGGAGGCAGAAGCAGGGGCATGACCCCGTTGGGAGGCGAAGGGGAGACCTCATGCAGAGCACAAGGGCTGTCAAAAAAAACACCAGAGAAGCAAAGACTTTTCCCTTGGAAGCCAATTCCATGGGGAACTGATAACAAGCTGAGAGCACGTCCACCCTGGGGCCTGCTAGTTGCCCTGTGAGGCCTCCACCACCGCCTTGCTCACCGTGGCATGGAGGCAAGGAGGGATGGCACACGAGATGCCACCCTGGAGCAGGGGCTGCAGGGTGGTGAGGGACGGGGTGGAAGACACCCTCTGCAGAAGGAGTGGGCAGGATTTTGCAGAGGCAGCAGGTGATTTGGGGTCCTCAGAGGAGGAATCGGGGCCTTCAAGCAGCGTTCATCCCTCACAAAGCCATTCCTCAGCCCTGGGGGGAAATCCAGCCTGTCCGTCTGCCCCTACTTCTTACTCCTTGATCGCACTGGGGAAGTAGAAGCAGCCAGTGGAGTATGACCCCCCTTCCCTCCCAGCTATCTCACCTGCAGGCCATGTGCCTATCGTGACCATATAGCTTCTAGCACTGTGGAAGCCCACCTACAAGCCCCCTACGGCCACTTTGCAGGAAACACCCTGCTTATCGGTCTGTGAGGGGGTTGGGCTAATTAATATATTTTTTTCCCCATTTTTTTTTTGTTTTGGAAGCCCAACCTCTGGCTACTGGGTTTGAGTTTAAGCCTCGTGTAGTCTGATTTTGATGTTTGGCGGTCTGGGGACTGAGTGCCCTCCTTCCCCAAGAACAAGGAACTATGTGTCTCATTTCTCCTCTCTGCCCCTAGGAGAGCGGGCAGGGGCAACTCACTCAAAGAACAACGAGCGCAAAAAAAAAAAAAAAGCATTTAAAGACCCTTATTATTGCTTTAATAAATCTGGACTGGAAACTTTCTGTAAGGAGGACCTGGGCTCTCCTGTCCTCTGTCCGCAGGTCTGACCTCCCTGCAGTCAGTGTGCACACTGCCAAGACAACAAACACTCCTTTCAGCAAATAAGTCCAGTCCGTGTAGTAATTATCCTTTTCTTTTCTGTTGTTTGTCCCAATTGACGTGATTGCTGTTTACAACTCCAGTTCATAAGATGCAGCAGCAGCTTAAAATTCAGACAGGTAATGATAAAACCAGGAAGTCTGTGGTGTGCCGCCCCCTCCGCGATGCCTCAGATGCCAATAGGGAGAGCTCTGCTGCAGTGACCCTCTTGATCTGGTGGGGAAAAAAATGGGATGGGAATCCACCAGTGAGCCCTGCTCTTTCTCTGAGTAGTGCATCAGCCTCCCCATCTCTGTAGGGCTGCTGTCCACCCTCTGCTGCCCTTCTCCATTTCCTCTGAGATACCTTGGTGGGTCTTGCCTGGGTCAGGAGGAAACATCCCAAATTCTTAGTGCCCCCTGGGTGGCTGACTGATGCCTTTTCCCACCCACCTGGAAACCTGGCCAGGGCACAAAACCAGGGGAGATGTGGGCTGGCCCCAGCAAGGAAGGAGATGCGTGTGGTCACATTGCTGGAAGAGGAATGGGGGACACAGCCCCTGGAGACCTCACTGCAGCCATGTGGGAGAGGATTGTATCTCTGGATTGGGGTCCTGAGGCAAGGCTTGGTTTGAGGAGTCGGTCTGCCCTCTCCCACCACCCCGCAGCACATGGGTGGTCTCCTGCGACACAGCTGGATGCAGCTCCCTCCTTCTCCCTCTCACCATCTGGTGAGCCAGCCAGGACACAACACACACGAGCACCCTCACATCTGTGCACGCACACACACACAGACACACACACACTGATGTTCCTGCTCCCCACATCCACGGTTGCACGCTGAGCAGGCCCCTGATCCCAGCTACACTGATGGAGGTTGGAAAAACACCAGAGGATGGAGGTGACACTGGAGAAGAGGCAGAGCTGTCACCAAGCCAAGGATGCTCTTGTAGGGTCTTCCTGCTGGGATGTAGGGCAGGGTTGGTATCCAGTCAGGGGGCCCACTACAGTTTGTGTTGAAGCCCCCTTTGCTTTTATTTGTCCTTTTTAAAATTCTATTTTTTGTCATCTTTTAATATATATATATATATAGCTATAGATACAAAAATAACAGATAGGTTTCTCTAGAGATGGTTTTTGCACCTTTGGGCTTCTAAAAGAAAATATCACAATTACTGCAAATGAAAGGGGAAAAGTGCAGTTTCCCCTCTCCCTATTTTTTTTTAACCTCTCCCTCCCTCTCCTCCCCTGCCTGTCCCACTCCAAATTTCCTTGTGTACCTTGCACATTTTTCCCCTTAGCAGTTTTCTTTCTTTGGAACAAAATGCAAAGGACAAACCCAACAAAACAGCTACAAAAATACACCACGGAGCCCCCCATCCCCTCCACCCATGAGCACACCCTCTGTGCTTGCACAATCCCTTCAAAGCCAGGCTTTTCACCTCAAAACATGTCCCGTGCTCCATGGCTGTTTGATTTTTCCCGCCACCAGGGCCAGATATTCCCCTGTTTTTCAGCAGTGAATCCCCTTCAAGACAGAGCTCCGCTGCACTACACCAACAGAAGCGCACAATCGCTGTTTGGCCAATTTACGCTAGACCTGAAGACCTGGCCCACAATTTTTAATGTTTGAAATGGAAGCATGAACAATAAGGAAGTTCCCAGAAACAGGCGAGGCAAGCCCCGGACGCTCTTCCCTTGCTGCTCACCCCGCTTCCCTTCACCCCACCCTGCTTGCCCACCCTCCTTAATTCTGCATAGCACCTCCTTCAGCCCCCATTTGCTCCTTCCTCCTTAGCACTTTCTGAAATTCGTAATCTCTCGGTAAAAAAAATAAATAAATCGATCTCTCTCTATATATGTATATGTATATAACTAAATGGCTGCCAGGCAGCAGTCACCTGGCCGGAGGGTCCCGTCCCTCCCAGCCCCATGGCCTTTTCTAGTCACTGTAGTCTCTGCAGTGATGGTCCAGGTCTTGCCCTCGGGCAGGACTGTTCCCGTATTGCTTGCACTCTCCCACGCCTCTGAGGTACGGTACCAGAGTATTTATTCTATATATATATATATATATATATTTATGTATATATATATATTTATAATTTTTTGTTTGCCTGGTTCTTTCTCCCGCAAATCCTTTGGAATCGCTGCTGGGGAGCAGCTGGCGAAACGCGCTCCCCATGCTGGCGGCCGAACGCTCCCCCCCTCGCACCCCAGGGACCCTCATCTGTTCCTCTTGCTGACCCCGTCACCCAGCTCCAGCTCGGACGGCAGCGGGGAGCCGCGCTCCCCTGTCCCCAGTCTGCCAGGGCCGTCCGGCTCCTCTCCTTGCCCGGGCGAGGGGGTGTCCTTGCAGAAGTCCGTCACCCACGAGGGCATGGAGAGGAAGCCCCGGGGGTCAACGGTGTAGAAGGGCTTGGCGTGGTGTGCGGCGGGGCGGCGGGGCGAGGGGCTGGCGTGGAGGCTGCTGGTGCTGCTGCACTTCTTCCCCAGCGTCAGCCCCGGCGGCGGGGGTGAGAAGAGGGAGGTCAGTGAGAGGCTGCTGAGGGTCTCCGAGGGCTCGCTGTTGTTGCCGCCCCCCCGCAGGCTGCTGCCTGCCCCCTCCTCATCCGAGGGGTCCATGGAGTCGTGGTGGGTGCAGCCGGGGCTGGTGCTCCCTCCGCTGCTGTGGCTCCGCTGGTGTCGGCGGATGCTCCGCAGGCTGAAGAGCCCCCGGCCCCGCAAGCTGCGGCGACGGGAGGCCGGGGAGAGGGGGGCCGCCAGGGGTCTTTGGTCGCCGGCGGCTGGTACGGGGCACAGGGCCACCGGGAGGTCCAAGGTGCACTGGGGAGAGTCGCTGAGGTTGAGGCTGTCCTCCAGCGTGGTCTGCAGGCTGCCCGCCGAGCTGCTGCTCCGGCTGTCCAGCGAGGTGTCGCTCTCGGGGGCCTAGGGAGCAGCGGGGTGAAAACACACAGAGCTCAGGCAAGAAGAGGGAGAAGACACTTCTTTTATTTACTTTTTTTTTAATGATTTAGGGTGTGAAGAAATAAATTCATTCCTCTCTCTCTCCCTGCTGTTGGGGATGGCAGCTACTATCCACTTGAAACATGCTACAAGTCTAAATCTACCCTCGTTTAGTTTAAAGCCATTTCTCCTCGTCCTATCACCACCAATCCTTTCATCCACCAATACTCTCAAGTCTTTCTCTGCAGGGCTGCTCTCAATCCACTCATCGCCCAACCTGTGTTCGTGTTTGGGCTTCCTCCAGCCCAGCTGCAGAACCTTGTGCTTGGCCCTGTTGAACTTCACGAGGTTCACACAGGCCCACCTCTCAAGCCTATCAAGGTCCCTCTGGATGGCATCCCTTCCCTTCAGCGTGTCAACTGCACTACTCGGCTTGGTGTCATCCAATCTCCAAAACCATAGCTATTCAATACAGTTTACCTCACATAATGAGAAGTTTACCGATTTCTCCTTTACAATGGCTCAGTACTTTTGCCCCAGCGCTATGCCAGCTCCAGAGCTCTCTCTCTTCATGTCTAAACTTCTGCGAGAAGTTCCAGTGCTGCAACAATTCAGTGGCCTCAGTTCAAGGCTAAATTTATCCCTGGTGAATTTATACACATGTGTATTGTGCCAACTGTGTCTATCACATAGAACTGGATTACATATCATTTATTTTTTTTTAGTTTGTCTGGAATAGTGTCCCTGTACACTTCAAACAGGAATTGTTCATGGAGTATCTTCCAAGAACAATAACAGGGATCTCTGTTGTGCTTTCATCTCTCTGTCTCCTCTGCTCTTCAGAGACACTTGATCTTTCCTCACTGCTTTTATTCTTCTCTTCAGTGAGAAATAGCTGCCTTTTCAGAAAAAGACAGCACCTCTCTGGAATGCAAGATCTAAGTGGGCAGGGGAAAACTGTGAGCTCTGGGACGTGGAGTGTGGATGTGGCATGACAGACTGTGGAGGATGTAGGTGGGGAGAAAGCAGGTGTGTGATCCAGAGTCACGGCGCCTGGAGGGGCCGTGGTGGCTATGCGGCTGCCATCTCCCTGGCTCACGCTGTGGCTGCTGTGCATGCAGGTGTCTGCACTGCACTTGGTCCAGTGGCTCAGGGGCAAGCTAAAATGGGATGTGATTTCATTCTCATGTGGGGCTAGCTGCAGCTGTCACACTACTTGTTGATCCAAAGCAGAAGAGCATATAATTTCAGGAGGTAGAGCTATGCAATACTCCTTTAGTGTTAAAACATGTCTCCTCCCCAACACTCCTGCACCCTGCGGTCCCCCGTGCTCCTCCAGCAGGCCCAATCCAGGTCACCCAGCCTCTGACCACAGCTGGCCTCTCTCCTTCAGAGAGGAAACGGGATTCCTCACCTGGTGAAGAAGTGAACAGTTCACACTCGGAGATCTCAGTGATGCCCATGAGCCTTGCAGGGAGATCTTAGGAAGGTTGCGTGGACACGAGACCTTCTCAGGCCCTGTCTGGGTGGCAGAGATGGCTGGGTGGAAAAATTCTGCTGGTACAGGTAACAGAGGGCAAGATGTACCTGGAGAATAGGGGCTGGGAGGGACTGACAAAGCACCAAGATAAATGGGGAAGAGAAAACAAACAGAAAAAAAAAAAAAAAGTTTAAGAGTCCTTCAATTTCATTTGGTGCCTTTTCTGCTGTTACACTGATGGTCCTGCAAGTCCAGTGCATTTGGTTACACGCACTCCTGGCCAAGAAGCCTCAGTGTAGTGTTCACACCATGAGTTCCTCTTTCTGCACAACAACCAAAACCTGCCCCAGACCCTGAAGATCTAACAGAGCTCAGAGCTGTAAAGCAACAGCCCAGCTTGCCTCTCCTGTTGCTGCTCTTGGAGGGAGAGGCTGAGCCATAAGGCCTTGATTCAACCATGTATCACTGCCAGAGGACTTTCATCCCAGGTCCTGCAAACCAAGGGATGAAGGGAGATAAATAAACTGGTGATTTAGGAAACCTGGGGACCACAGGAGGTCAGAGAGCACTCAGGAGTGGAACAGGGGCACTTCAAAAAAGGGCAGACCTGCTGTGTGTTCCCTATGGCTGTATCTGAGGAGCCTGGTCTCAGGGGACACACAGGCAGGTCTGAGGGAGGGTATAAGATATACCAGTTGAAGAAGGAAATGCTCCTCACCCCATTCCTGAGGACTGGCAAACTGAAAGCTAGTTCTCGGTTAGTGTAACCCCACATCAGATTACCTCCATTCCTGGCAGGGGGGAGGCAGGAGAAAGGCAGATGAGCTGCACCAACCCACACTCTCAGCAAACCTGGAGAATGATGAGAGCTGTCCTCACCTTTGGTACCTTCATGCTTTAGCCAAGACTGGACTGTGTTGAAAGGAGTTTTCTCCATTTCACACAAGTAACTGTCTGGATTTGTAGAGCCATCCGCACTGGATATCGGGAGGAGGCATTCCCCTAAATCTCCTACCCCAGTGGAGTCAGGGCTGTCCTTGCCATCCTGTTGGAAAAAAATAAGTGAAGACAAAGCCTGGTGAAATTTAACAGCAGACAACAGAGTGGATTTATCAAAGCCTCAGGAAGGGCTGACTCTGAAGGTATCTTCAAGTTATCTGAGAGATCCTCAGGTTTCCCTCCCAAATCCCCTAAAATTAGGCTTGTTCCAAGGCAGTTACTGAGAGCAGTGAAGAAAACTTTCAAAAATGTACATCCTTTTTTTTTCTCTTCTATGGAGAATTTCTTGAAAAGTGACCAGCATTTATATTCCTCAGGAGGGACACTCGGATGAATACTGAACACTTCAGAAAAGCAGGCACAGAAATACAGAGTGCAACATGCCCATGACCACCTGGGGCTAACCTTGGTCTCCTTGGGACTCAGCTGAGACGTGCTGCGATTATCTGACTCATCTCCTAGAAGGATGGAAGAGGACTTGTCTGAGTTGAGAGATAATGCTTCCATTTCAGCCAGCTGGACCTGCAGGAAGGGAAAGAAGCTGTCATTGAATGTCTGGAGCCCATATTTCAAGCACTCACACCATTTATGATGGATAAGTAAGAGCCTGTAGACCCGAGATGAATTTTACATTATATTCCTTGGATACATCAGGTACTGCCTAACCCAGACCTGGGCTGGACAGGAGAATCCAATTTTTAAGGAAGCTTGAACGTAAAATCTGCAAGCAGCCCACCGCCAGTCCATGCTCCCCTAGTGCCAGCATTGCAGAGAGGAGTCCTGAATCCATCCCAGCGATACGGCTGGCACAAGGCCCTGCAAGTAAAGCCAGGCAGAAAAAGGGCTCCCTCAGGCTGATGATAAGGCAGTCTGCTCTGCTAAGGGATGGGGATTGAACCCATCCCTCTGAAGGCGCCAAGGACAGCCCTGCTTAAACATGAAGGTGCTTTCATTCCAGGGATAGTCATGCCTCTTGCAGTCCATGCCAGTATCATGCTTTTCATATACTCTTACCTTCATCACTGAAACCCCACCTCCCTCCATCTTTCCTGCACCTTCTATCTCCCCTCACCTCTGGCCTACCCAAGACCTCAGCTAACACCACCCTCCTTCCTGTTCGCCATCCCTAAACTCACCCCTCCAGCCCTAGCATACTCAGATCTCTTGATTTCTGAAACCAACTCTGACTACTGCATCTTTCTTGTCCTTGAGGCTCAGCTCTGCTCCAGTCCCATGCCTGAGCTTGCTTCACCCTTCGGCCTGTTTCATGCCATACATCCCCCCCCCCACACCCCCCCATCCTCTTTCCTCCAAGCTTTTAATTTCCCTCTGCCTGACCTCAGCTCATCCTATAATGCCTGAAAAGTACCTCCTTTTGCTAGTAGCCTAAGCAGCTGCTCTATCCCTCCTGTGCTCAACATTCTGTTGCTGGTCTCTAGAGTCCCACCAGCAGCACTTGACTCAATAGTTATATTCGGGGTTGTCTCGGTCAGGAGAGCTTGCTTCCTGGGCAGTTATCTTGTCCTCCCCTATGTTTGTGTTTGCAAGAAGTAGACACAACTTTTGTTCTCTAAGAGCAGGTGGAACATTTGGAGAGATGACTCCTTCGAGCTGGGAGTTTAGTGGCCTGGGCCAATGCCAGAGACTGGAAGTCTCCATCCTTGGATAAGGCACTTTGAATATACAGAAGGGAAAACCTGAGCTGGATTTACATAAAGGGCACAAACAGCATCCACATTTGGGTCGTTTTTCTGACATACAAACTTGGTGCCACTCAACCATGAAAAGAGCTCAAAACCAACAACTGCTGCTTGGAGTGCAGACACACCGGAGAACCCACAAGGACATTGTGTCAAGCATACTACACAGCCACCAGTCAGCAACTGCTTGTGTATAGAAACACCGCCCTCATCTAGTCCCACTTAATGTGCGTACTCATCCATTACTTGCCTAAGTGCTTGTTACACCAGAACAGCCTTACAGCTGTGCTCGTAGAGATGTGAGTGTGAAATCTGATAACATCTGCGACTACCTTCTCCGACCATAAAAAAAAAGGGTTTTAAACAAAAGCCAGAATCGTCTGTTCTTCACTGAACCACTTGCTCACAAATTCTCATCACCTTGGGATCCTCAAAAAAAGCATAATCAACAAAGTCACGAGTAGATAAACTGCACATGCAAAACACTGTTCATGGCTGCTCACTGACAAACCCCTGCCACTGGCTAGCTAAGCTATCAGCCAACAATATACAGATGTCTAACAGTCAACCAGCCCAAAAATGAAAGGATAGAGATGAAATGAGAATAGGTTAATCATATGAGAGAAAAAAAAAAAAAAAAAAAAAGTAATGTTTTCCTGTTTTGTTCTTATAATTTCCATTACTGGAGAATATTTAAAAATATTCTGACTAAAGACAAAGGGACAAAAAAGTAAAATAAATGTGGGGATGAGGGGGTGAGTACAATCTATAAAAAATGCTTGGGGTGTCAACCACAGGCACTGAACCACGCACCTCAGAAAATTACTAGTTGCAGATATAAGCTATCTATAAAACAGAGCCATGATTAGGAAAATCCTTAATCGTCCAAAGAATTAGTTTGAAAATCAGATGCCAAGAGTTTGACTTGTAATGATGCTGACACTCAACACAGTAGAAAGCTTAGCACATAATAATAACTTTGAGCCAGTGTTAAGTGTTGTGTTTATCTGCTTTGCTCAGTATCTTCCTGGATTAAACCACAACTGAAATGGGAGCAAACATTTTTGTCTGATATGTGATTGTTTTCACAAGGGCAGAGTTAAGGGTGATTTGGTGTGCAGCAAGCAGAGTGTTTTGTTCAAAGGCACATGTGCTGGAAAGGACTAGATAAAAACTGCTCTGCCTGTATAAACTGCTGTTGTTTCTGAGACGGTATGAATCTTTGTGTACAATATAGAGCTAGTACTAACGTACAACTCTGGTTATGTTGGTACACCTTAGTACACTAATTAATTAATGACTATGTATATTGTTATGTGCATTGATGGTGTTAGTGCTGGATTCAAACTTAGCTGTGGCAGTGTGCAGTAATTTGCTGTTGGAATTTCCTCATTGTTTTTCCTGCTATGAAATATGAAGAGAAGGTCATGATCAACCGTGACTTAAAATCCTGAGCTTTAATTTTGATTCATATGTTGAGAAATAAAAGATCTACATTTCATTATTAAAGATATTCCTGTAGATAATTTCTTTCCAATTCCACATTTTAGAGGTACTGAAATATCAATTTAGAAAAATAATTTATGGCTCTATAATGGCCATTAGAAAATATGGTCTAAGAATAATTATTTGGTGGTGATCATTCCGTTAAACTCTTTGCTGCGGCTGTGGGTTGCACTTGAAGATTTTGCTGTCTAGTTTCCTTGCTGGGCAGGTGAGAAAATCTGTTGCTGTTGTCTTTATTCCCAGCAGGCAGGGTACTGAACACTATCTGGAAGGTTTTCAAATGCACCGAACTAGTTGCAAATTACTTGATTTGGGGGTAATCCTTCCGGAACGCTTTAGAAGACCTGATTTTTCTGAGAAGACTGAGAACTGACTACTGAATATAAGGACTTATGTAAGGTGCTGGAAAGTACAGTGACTTGAAAACTAGTTATTTGGCTGTATTAATGCAGTATCCATGGGTGAAGTGTTGCAGCACTGAGAAACCGCAGCAATTTTCTCATTCTGGTATTTTCAAAGGGAAGCTATTGGGACAAGTAGACAGATGAAAGGCAGAAAAAAAATAAAGCATCAGAACTAGGGGTCCAAAGCTAAATGAAATATTGTTGTCTTCAAATTTGGATAGAGTAATCTGCCAATGAGAGCTCTCTTCCCAACTTTCCTGGTTTCTTTAAAGGCAATAACAACATATCAAGCTACGGTGAAGGAGATGGTGAAGATTGCCACTGATGACAGATGAGACAAGATACTAACAAGTCTAACCATGATCACAGTACTTAAATATAAAAAAATGATTTCAGAAAGCAAAATAATTCTGCTTCTCACCTAACTTCTCCCAGGCTACTTTGCTCCTGAAGTTTTACAACATTTAAAGACTAATTGCTTACAAAGTGGTTTTCCAAAGCATGTATGAACTTTAGGAGCACAAGTCTAAGCCATTGGATGTCCTGCTCTTAGCAACAACCCATTTGTCAGCTAACAGGCTCTACCTTTGAAAATAGACTCTAAAACTTTCTCAGTGGGCCCATCTTTACTTAGTTTTTGCTCAAACTAATTAGCCAGTTTTCATCACAGACCAATCCTTGCTCACAGACAGTGACTCAGTTCAACAAGGCATGTAAACATGTGCTTAACTCACCGATCTCAACAGGGAATAAGCAAGCACGTGCTTCAAATGAAGTCAAAACATGTGCTTAAATTGAATCGTCCCCAAATGCTGTTATTGGGGTGCAAACCTTCCAGTCCTTTGTACATGAGCTTGAACCTCTGCTCTTCTTGCAGAACTGAACACAACACTGCCTTCACAGTCATTCCTCTACATCTCGTTCCATCCCTCCTGACCTCCATCCTGGCACATCTCAGCTTTCTGCCACCTCAGGCATCCCCCCATGACTAAGGAGGGCAGGCTTGTACCAGAGGCAGTATCAGCAACGCATGATGGGTGGAAAACACAGTCCAAGCTCTCTGTCTACACAATCTACAGCTAAGAGCACACGCTGGACGACCTGCGGGCATGTGTGTGTGGGTGTGCAGGTCTTGGGGGGACAGTCCCCTCACGCATCCTCGTACGCAGGTTACCTCTTGCTTGTCATGGTTACACTTCTCGCACATGGCCGGCGAGGAGTAATGATGGAAGACGGAGCCCGATAGGTTATCGATGATCATTAACTCCCCGTCGAAGGAGTCCTTAATAATTAAAGAGACACTGTCCAGCCATAAGTTCTCCTAGGGGACAAGAAAGGGGGGAGGATGGGAGAAATCATTTTAAGAATGCCGAGTTTTTTGCTTCAAAGTTTCTTGTGAATTTGGGGCTGGGTTCTCCACCCTGACTCATCTGGAGCAGTACCTCGTTCTGCAGGTACCTGTACAGGATCACTGGGGGAGCATTTGCTCCTTAGGGTGTGTAAAGGTGCAGAAGTCCAATGCAAAAAAAAAAAAAAAAAGAAGGATGGACTGTCTTCAATCACTTCAGTGCACCACGGCACTGCTTGTGCCTCCCTTCCAGCTCTGCTGGCATGCCTCACTCTTGATCTGCCATTTCTCCTGCTCTCTTTTCCTGAGTTTCCCTCTCAAATTCCTCCTAACACATCTTCAGCTGATCTGCTCCATCCCTCTTCTGCTGGCCTTCAGGATCCTACACCACGATGCCAAAACTTCCAGGCAGCGCTACAGGACCCATTGCTGTTACCTCCTTTTCCCTGCACAATGCTACCAACTCAGCTGTCTACTGCTGAAAGCAAACCCCTCACCCTGAGGTGGAAGAGTCTGCCTGCTGCTGCTAAGCCTTCAGTTGTCTAGGCTGCCTGGCTTCTCCCCAAAGCCGCTTGCTGCAGTCTGGTTGGTAAACTCAAAGGTGTACCCACCTGTGCCGGAGAGTAGCATCTCATGCACAGCCGTCCTTCAGGATCTGTTCTCCCACCACTGCCTCCTGTTCCTGCTCCTGCTCCTTTTCCCTGCCCTGAATTCGGAGAACCTGACTTGCGGGAGCACAGCCCATGCGAAAATTCCAGCTCAATCTCAGCATCCATCTCCGCATCCTCCTGGGCTTCCTTGTTGCTGTCATCCAGATGTTTCATGAGCACAGCTACCACCACATTGATGAGGACAAACTGGGCTGTGAGCACAAAGCTGACAAAGTACAGTGGGGAGATGAACTGCAGGTTGCTGAGGCAGCTCCGGTCATCGTGGCTGCAGTCACGTAAGGTATCCTTGAGGGGAAGTTGGGATTGGGAGAGAATGATGGAAGGAAGGAAGGACTAAAGTAAGAATACAAGCTTGGCTGCTCTATCAAAAAATACTGATGCCACTGGAAAGAACAGAGCCAACATTTCCATCACCTCACACCCTTCAGAATCACTAAGTCCCCCAAGAATCAAGGACATTATCTGGCCACAGGACACAACTTGTACTCTCTGCTTCAAAGCAAATGTGCCCAAAGGTGTACAGAACAAACTCCTTACAGACCACTGCATGTTGCTGCCACTGTAGCCCCATGTGTGTGAACTGTTGCTGTCTGGTATTACCGTCTTTCATCAGGCTCAAAAGCACCATATGTGTTCAAAGAACTCATCTTCCCCTCTCTTCCCATCCTTTGAAGGACGGAAGTATTAATTTGGATTGCTCTGGTAGCTCTGTAGATGGCTGCCATGTAAAATTCATTACTTTTAACTTCAGTAATGGGCCTTATGACAGCAGATATTCTCTCTTAGCTGGGATGGCCTTCTTGCTCCTTCCAAGGCCAATCTGCACTTCTCCCAGCCAGATGGCTGTAGGACCAGATGAGCCCAGGATCTAAGTTACCATGTTGAGGTAGGAGATTCTGGCCAGAGCTGGGACTTGACCTAGCGACTCAGCTCCTGGGCTTCTCTCCCTTTTCCAACCAAAGCACTGCTGAACTGAGCACAGGTCAGAATTTCTCCTTCCCCATAGCAGGGACACCCACGCCACTGAGGCCCAGTTACCTTCATGATCCCGTTCCAATTGTCACCTGTGGACACCTGGAACAGCGTGAGGAAAGCCATCCCGAAGTTCTCAAAGGTGGCGTGACGGCTCATGCCCTCACAGGGGTTCTCGTCATTGCACACTGAAAGGAAGGGGATCACAGCTATCAGTGGAGGACACACTGCCCACCCTGAGACCAACAGCAGGAGCTAGGGAAGGACACTTCAGGCTCCTCGCAACCTGGACGTCTCAGCTAATGGCCTCAGCACCCTGTCGCCCAGCAGTTGGCTGTCAACCAGCAATACAGAAAAATCACTGATAGCAATGTAACTCGGTTGCTTTGGGGGATCCTTCCAACAATGTCACTGGGCTGCCTTTCTTTTTGATCAATATTCCATGGCAAGAGATACAAATAACCTTTTCTGAGTTCTCTTCTGTAACCTTAAAGCAGTATCAAGGAAGGCAGTGCAGAAAAAAAAAAAGTTTAGGAATGAAAGAGAAACCAAAAATTGTTTTTATTCTTTTAGGCTGTTAGAACAATAAAATTTTAGAGGGGAAACTCCGCTTATATCAAGTATGCAAAAAGGAGAATAAAGGACACCAAATAATTCAGCCCTGTTATTGAATGAGTACCGAGCTTGAGAAACCTCATTTTCCCAGCGGGTCTGCAGCTCACACTGGAGCACAAGCTGATTGAGACTTACCTAGTTTTCCAAAGAGCTCCACTCCTAGAGCAGCGTAGATGAAAAAGAGCAGCATGAAAAGCAGTCCAAGGTTCCCCACCTGAAAGCAAACCGCATGGTCAGCCTATCCCAAAGCCTACCTCATCCGAACAGGTGAGTGTGGATCATACCCAGACTGTTTTTTGTCTTTCATAGTCAGAAGAGAAGAGCAGCAAATTGCCAGTGTACAAGTGCAACCAAATGATTATGCAGCACACGGGAAATCACTAGTGATGGCACCATCCATGCTACAACAGCCACCAGCAGACTCAAAGGATGCTCTGTTCCTAGCTGCCTCTACTATAGCACAAACTCTGGCCAGGGCTGACTGAAGTGTACAATTTCTGGGCCAAGTGAAGGCAGGCATGTTGGAGCAGGGGTACAGAGAAACGAACCCAGTTTGGCTGCGTGAGGGCCAAACTATGTTTTACAGCATAAAGCCATGTGCTGCAGTGTTACGTGCCCCACCAAGCTGCCTAAATCCCCTGAAGTTATGCTTTTTGAAGCATGACAACAGGGCTCTAAAGGAATGTGGGTGTAGGTACCCCAGCTGCTGCAATGAACCCTCCATAGGCAGAGGGCTGAGCAGGGCTTGTGGAGGCAGGTGGGAACAAAGATGGGTGAAGAGGCACTTTTAAAATGCAAAGAGAGAAGAGGAGGGGAAGAGACTATGAAAAAGCTAAGAGGGGCTTTTGTATCCTGTAAATAATAGGGCAAAGTCTGATTTTTGGGCTTCTAGCAGTTGCTGTTTAGAAATCCCACAATGGGAGGATTGCTGCTTCATGGCACACAAAGGCAGCAGTGTCACTAGCAACGTGTGCAGTGCCCCCAATGCTTCTGCCCCCACGTCCTCACTCTCCCAAATCACTGCTCTACTTCAGAACCTCGTGCATCCCAGCGTGTGGGGCATATGGATTATATATGGGAAGCGGGAGGGGGCTTGGAATATGCAGGCTGAACAGCAGCAGAAAACACCAGTAATGGTTACCACACCATTGGTGGAGCAAGGGGAGGCAGGGATGAGTTAAGGACCTGGTATTCGGGTGTTTTTGAAAAACTGAACAGTGTCTGATTCCAATGCTTGTGAGGGCTTGTGGTCACTGGGCCTTTGTTAGGATCATCTACTTCAGGGGCCTAATTTAGTCATTGCAACTGCTGTGACATCCAAATTCAGAAGAGAAATGAATGATTCAGCCCACCCACTCCACTGGGCTGCCAGAACCTGGCTCCCTACAAATGCAGTGGAAGGAATTATTTCTGATGACTAAATTGGACACCATAGTTAATGCTCTGAACGCACACCTCTATCGGGCATTAAAAGAAGAGAAGCTAATAAAATTTAGCTAAGGGCTATATTTCCAAGGGGCTCTGAAAATTAAAGCTCTATTCACTATTTAGAATTGTTGCTGTGTAACAAAGAAAGGAAGAGAATTGAAACAGGACAACTGGAGAAGCCTTATATGCCATTAGCAAGCCAAAATCCCTGATGTGAATCTGTGCTCTAGGAACATAAAGAGAAAGGTCGAGAGGAGGAAAAAGCGCAAGGGAAAGGACAGCTTATTTTAAACTGCTTCTTTTGGCAAAGCCAATAAATCTTGGAGAATAATATTACAGATAATTCAATTGTCCCCTGAAGACTCAGTGTGTAAAATATGGAGACTAAATTCAATTTTTAACAGTGAAACTGGGGGATTTTAGCCCCGCTTTGAGAGCAGATTTTGACGCGACTTTAACTATGGAGTGATTTTTGATCCCTCTGTTATATAACTTTATTAAGTGAAGCCAAGCCATTATAGGGGGAAGCAACAGCCGGTCAATAGCAAGTGGATTGATCATAGACTTTGATGCTGGAAGGATTAAGCACTGCTTGTTATTACCTTCCAGGGAATACCTAGAAGCCAGACCTTTAGATATCTGCTTGTGAAGGTACTGTGGCAGATACTAACGACCTCCAAATGACAGATCATCTCAGTTAGCAAAGGGTCTGTGGGCGAGTGTGAGAGAGAAAAGAAAGAATTTGTAAAGAATGGAAGAATATGCTGTGGTTTGTGGCTAAGACCAGCGAGCTGGGTTTGAATTAAGGTCCTGGCTGTGTTCTTTGCCATCCTGAGCAAATAACTTCACTGCCCAATGACTCAGTTTCTCCATCTGCATTGCAGAGATATGAACATTTCCTCTTCTCCTATTTATTTACAGTATTTTGGGGGTAGAAGTCCAGTCTCACCATTTAAGTGCAAATATACTGCAGAGTCCTCTTACCAAGGGCTTCTAGACCCTACTTCAGCCAGCTCGTCATATCAGTGTGCGTTTATCTGGGCTGCAGAATAAACACATCACAGACATGCAGATCTGGAGACCTGCTCCATTTCAGATCCTTGCCTGAGCAAATTACTTGTGGCTACTAGAACGGAGAAGAGCAAGGTGCAGAGGGGCTGCACTGAACCAGCCTGGGGCAGCAGAGCCAGAGCTAATATACTTCAGTGGCCCAAAGCTACAAGAACACCTTTAATCTCCCATTCTTCACATTGTTTAATGTACCTCAGCCCCAAAGTATCCTCGATGACAAAGGATATTATTATGTATCCTATATATGAATTATATAATTATTAATATATAAAATTTTAAATTATTACTGCTTAATAATAATAATAATAATAATAATAATAATAATAATAAAAACACAGAAGATCAGACAGAGCTCGGGATCCAGGGAAGATCACAGCATTTCCCCCTGGCTTTTGTGCCATGAGATTCCCCTAATTCAGACTGACATCATTTCTTGTCACTAACATCGGGAGTAAATTCCTTGTGTAGCTACTCATGCTGTTTTCAGATTGATTCCCAGCTCTGCATCACTCACCAAGACTGGCATATTAGCTGATAAATCAACTGACAAATGCCCATGCATTTTGATATCATCCAAGATAGCTGCCTGCTCGGGGCCTGCCAGGGGAACGACTGATGTATGATCAGTAGAGCGACTTGGTGCCATTACTCCTTGCTTAACAATTCTCTCTTGAGGATCCGAAAGGAAGGGGACCAGTCTCCCAGGCTGCTCATCCATCACGGAGGATCCTCTCAGTAGGCTCGGTGCCTGTGTAAAGCACCGTGTCAGCATCTCTATTCGGGAACAGCTGCCGCTCACAGCTCATGAAATCCTTCTGTCTAGCTGTCTTGTGGTAGACACTTAACTGCCGGCTGCGTGAGCCACAACAGAGCGCGTCACTGCTTCTCATACATGAGAGGCTCAGAAACGTGAAGGGATCCAGGAGGAGAAAGGAAGAAATGAAAGTAGGGAGGGGGAGGCACTGGCTAAGAAAAGGAGTGACAGGAATGTGAGTGAGAGAGGGGAACATGCAGGGAAGGGTGAGAGGGACAGAGATACAAAGACCTGCTTTCCTCTTGAAATGGCTGCCAGTCACTCTCCCCTTCTTACAGAGAGAGAAGAGAGGAGCTGGGGACTAGCCATAAGTGGAAGACACTAGCTAGACATGATGGGAAGAAACCTGCCCTTTCCCAAGAATCAAGAATTCATTCAACAACTAGATGCGAGTTGACAGAGGTGAGCTGTATCCCCATGACTGACTTGAAAATTTGGGCAGCATTTTCAGGCAGTTGCCTGCACAACACAGTCAATACCGCCTTTGAGACATGCAGAGAAGTGACCCTTTGGAAAAAAGGTGCAGAAAATGAGAGTCTTGGGGGAAGCTTATGTGTTTTACCTGTGGCAGGGCTTGAACAACTGTATCCAGGAGTGCTCGCATTCCTGTGGCCATCTTCAGTAGCTTCAGGACTGCCATAACAAGCACAAAACTGTCTCTCAGACACTCAGAAGGTCCATTATTTTATGTAACTTACTAATGTCAGTAGCACAAGACAGATGCCGATTTCCCCTTGCCCTAGAAAAATTGGATTGTCCCTTGTGTCCCCATTTTCCCTTTTCCCATAGGTCACCTATGCCTTTTTGGTCCTTCACCTCCTGTTAAAGCCACTTCATCTAAATGCCTGGCTTAAAGAAACCAGAAAACCTTAGCCTCTAGGCTGTCCTTTCCATTCTCTGCCTCCCTCCCAGCCTCTACAGCCACTGCTTGAGGAGTCACTGCACTAGGTCCCACTCCATGGCCACCTACACCCCTGCCTCCAGCCAGTGTCTTTCTCACCCCGGGCAATGCGCAGCACCCTCATGATCCGGATGATAGTGGGGTTAATTGGGAGAGCAGCATTGATTTCAATCTCTTCCAGTGTGATGCCCATGACAGACAGCAACACAATGGCCAGATCTAGCTGGTTCCACCTTAAGAAGAAAAAACAAAGAGAGTTAGGGAAGACAGAATTTTTCCACTTCCCTGAAAAAGAAAGTGAATTGTTTCCACTTTAACCTAAACATTCCTTTACGTATTAATCCAAGGCCCTGCTCTGAGTCAGCCTACATAGGCTTTTGCAGACAAACAGAGATTCACTTTGCACACATCCCGAGCAGCCAGAGGCAAGCCAGCCCGATCTGAAAGCATGGAGCTGTGTTACTATGGTGCTATGCTTTGACTAATGGGCTCAGCTTTTTATGGCCTTACTACCTCGAATCAGCTTCATTATATACGTTCTGCTTCAGCATGCTCCCAGTTTGCCTCAAGGGCAGGAAAAAAAATGGCAGTTTCTGAGCCCACCTCCTTTGCTTTCTAGCCTGACTAGTAGATGCCAGCCAAGAAACAGTTCTTGGACAATTCTTATTATTGCCTAGGCATTGCGGCTCTGCTGTGCAGAACTGAAAGGCATTCTGCTCCTGCCTCACACTCTAGATAGGGATCCATCCTCAAAACCTCCGCCCGAAGCCCAGCTGTCCCACAGCCACATTTGACAGAACCCTCTGCTCACCTGTCTTTGAAGAATCGCCGCAGACCGAATGCCACCAGCTTGAGAACTGCCTCCAACACAAAGACAGTGGTGAACAGGTAGTTGCAGTACTTAAGAGCTGTCTCCAGGGACTGCCGGCAGAAAGAAAGGGTGAAATAATTGAGGCAAGAGCAGTATCAAGCACGTAACCCGTGGGAGACTCTTCTGAGCACCAGGAATTTGAGAGTAGATGGGGAAGCTGCCCCATGCCTCCTACTTACTAAAACATAGAGGCCACCTTCTAAGAACAACCATCAGCTAGCCCCTCTGCCCCATGTTGTTCTGGGGATCAGTTATTGCTCCTTTCTCTTGTACTTCTTGGTATAAGAGGGAGGAGGCTACTGCAAGGAGAGTCCACTAAGTATTATCAGCCTGCTCCTCTGCCAATAGCCCATGCCATCATGTTAATGACACTGGCATAGCTATGGACCAAGAGTGAGGCAAGAAGGTTACTTTGGTTGTGGATAAAAGCCATATCTCTGATGGGAGGAAATCCTTCCATGCCTTGACCTCTGGGACAGGTATGTGTCACCTCTCAGATGTGAATTTCTGGTTGGTCATTGTGCTGCCCCTTCGCCACCACCAAGGGTCAATGGGATCAGTGGGCAGCACTTGGTGGCACCTCATACTGGAAGCATTCAAAGCACTTTGGCAGGATTCATTATCAGAGCCTGACAACATGGCTGTACCAGTGTTAGAGGGGAAGGAGCTGAGGAGTAAGAAAGACTGACCTGTTCTGATATGAGCAAAGGCCTGACACAAGGGTGACAAGTAAGGACTGTGAGTTCCTGTAGAGTAAAACTGCGTACCACCAGGAGCAAGATAAAAGGTGGGCAGCTGGGCAAGATGGGTGAAAAACAGAGGACGGTGGCAGCAGATTTGAATGATAAGAGACAGATTCAGCTCCTCATCAAAGCCTGAGATGCCTTGAACAGCATCTGCTCAGATGACACAACTGTTATCTAAACCAACAATCTCCTCAAAAATAAACTGAAATGCCACTGAGCAGATATCATAATGAATGCTTTGTCTGCACACAGAGGCAGAAAGCTCCTCTGATATATGCAGCTTTTTTTTTTTTCCCATCAGAGACATCTAGAGCTTTCCCAGGAACTGAGAGAGGTACCTGGTTTTCTACAGCCTAAGTATAAGACTTCTTTGGCCTTCAGAGCCCTTTGCTGGGAATCACTCCCTGCAGCTGAGAGAGGCCCTGCTCAGTGCTTTACCCCTTCACCTTCTCTTACAGAAAACAGGTGGCTGAGTGGAGAGCTCCTCTCCTGTGAGAGCCAATCCAGTCCCCACAGTTCAGGCCATACGACAGGAGAATTGGTCTGACATTTGGAAATATGATGCAAAGCCTGAAGCTCCCTGGACACTGCAGCTTCCACCATTCTTCTTGTTGGGATCCAGGGGAACATACAAAGCAGGCTAGGCAGCTAAATTTGGGTGACCCATATAAACCCTTAATAATAAAAAGCACAGAGACCTAATTGCACAAAGCGTTCTAGTGGACAAACTCTTGCTTATATGCATTATCTCTATTGAGTTCAGGCAATAATATATGTGTGAGTAGGGGCTGCCTTTCTGGGTACACACCAAACTTACCAAACTCCTCAAGCATTCCTACTTACTACATTAACTCTTGCCAAACTTTAACAATATTTTTAGAGACACTCGTGTCCTCTTCTCGTAGACACAGAAACATAGTAAAATAGCATAATTACTAGAGACAGGACTTATCTCCATGATCTCACTCACCACAGGTTGGTTGTAGTGCTCCAAGGACATGGTGACCACGTTGAGGCAGATGATGAAAGTGATGAAGATGTCCAGATAGTGGCTGGTGCAGACCGAATGGATAAGGAGGCGTATGGGGCAGTAGGTAGCATAGTACGGCAAACGCTGCGCTTCTTCAGTGGAAAGAGGGAGATGGGGAGAGTTAGCAGGAAATTGGGAGAAAGAAAGAGATGGGTAAGAAACATTGACGAGTGAGCGGGTTTAAATGTGGTGATGGGCTGACAGACAAGGGGATGAAGGCAGAAGAGAGAAAGAACAGAAAAGGATAGATAAAAAATAGGGGCCATAGGAAGGAGAAAAATGAAATGCAAAAAAGAGGAAAGTAGAAGTGGGGTGAAAAATAAATAGAATAAAGAAAAGGAAAGGAATGCTTAAACGAAAATCTGTCAGTCTATGTTTGTGGGAATGGTGCTAAATCAGCATTTCATGCCTCGACAAATTAAGATCACAAATGATAAAAGGGAGCAGATGGTTCCAGGAGAGGCCCCAGGGTGTCACAGGAGAGAGGAAAAAACTGGAGCACGGGAAGGGAAAGCATGCCCATGGGCTGTGAATGGAAGAAAACCATCAGTCTGGGGTAGTAGGGAAGATATCCAGGGGCAAGTATGCTTTTGCAATTTTTGCTTAAAAGTAATACAGAAGAGGACAGGAACACCAGGATGAGGGGTTGCTTCATCCTAGCGGGTCTGGGACCCCAAGGAGTGACACTACAACACTGATGAAAAGAGCCAAGAACAAAACACAAGAATCTTCCTCTTTTTTTTCCCTCTCCCTTTTCTTTAAATTTTGGGTTAAACACAATAGCCTGCCCAGGTCTTCCCCCTAACACCAGCTGGAGATGCAGGAAGCCCAGGAGGTCTACTGATGTGTGCATGTCTTATGTTGACAGTGCGTGCCAGCATGTGCACAAGTACATTTTGGTACATGGTATTTCCCCATGGCTTCCCTGACACCCCAGCTTCCCTACAGACCTCATAAACCACCCCCTCTCCCCCAGACCGCCCCGGCGTGGTGTGTAGCGACGTGGCAATGGCACGGGGAGGAAGGCTCAGAGCACGGCCACAAGCGATGCATTTCAGAGACCGGCCCGTCAAGAAAGAAAAAGAAGAGGAGAAGGTTTTTGTCAGAAAACCTTGGCCTACGAACCGACCAAACACTTAGGCTGTGCCTTACTCCTTCTCTTCTTCTCCAGGCGCCGCAGGCGCTTCTCCTCCCGCCGGCGTGCCTCCTCGGCCTCCTGGTGCTGCCGGCACTTGTGGAAGTTCTCCACCACCACCCCCACAAACATGTTGAGCACAAAGAAGCTGACGATGAGGAGGAAAGAGATGAAGTAGAGGAGCATCCAGGGGTTGTTGTTGGTGACCGGCTGGAGGAAGGAGGAGAAGAGAGAGGCAGTGGTCAAGTGGGTGGTGGTATAGAAACGATAGGGGGAAGGGGACATGATCATGAAAATGAGGGGAATGGGCTGGGAAAAGCTGGGGCTGTATGCAGGGCAAATTGTGATTGGCTGACCGGATTTTGGCATCAGTTGGTGAAAATATAGCTTGCATTGATGGAGTGGGTGAGAGTGAAGGGCAAGGGCCCACCTGTACAGAGTCACCCACAGTTCAGACACAGCCCCATCCACAGATCAGGTTCAACCCCAATACATGGTAAAAACAGTCCAGGCACTGGAAAAACCTTTGGCTCAAGGGCCAATAGAGACCGCATTTACACACCACCAGGAACAGCTGGCAGACCCAGACAGAAATGTCATTCAGGCTCAGAGAAGAAAGGAGGCCCTGCCTTTACTGGATCTCCTGACAAAGCAGATACAAAGCCAACAGTGGTGCATCTTGTGTGGAGTTTCAGAGGTAAATGGAGCATCATCCCCAAGGTTCAGGCCTGTGGCAAGTGCCTACACTAGCACTATCAAGGTCATTGCCTTAGCAGCAAAGGAATAGCACTACAGTGGGCAGGAGCCCAACAGTCCCTGCTTATGGGGTATTAAAGCATCTGTGGGAGCCAGCATGCCCAGAAATGCACGTGGCTTTGTTGCTCTGTTGTTACAAATAAAGACCTGCCGTGTGATCTGAACTGGTTGGAGGGTGAGAATTACCACAGACACCCACTGCACAGCCACAGCTGCACTTCCCCACGTTGACTTGGCACAGCTTTGGCCCAAAGGATTCAGCAGGGACTCCTGGTTTGAGGGAGGTGTTCAAAGCAGGATGTTACAGCAAGCTCCCACCGAAAGGAAAAGTCAAGCCCAGGGAAAGTCAAAAAGGTCCTTTTGCAAATAATTCTTTATACCTGCTGGTCTACAGCCACAGCATCTAGTCCATTATACATAATATTGACCCAGCCATCCTTGGAAGCCAGAACAAAGAGAGACATCAGGGCCTGCAACAGAAAAAGCAAAACAGATGTGAAGCAGGTGCATCTGGCAGGCTGGGAAAAAAAAAAAAAGAAAAAGCATGGTTTATGCTCTAACACACAGAGTGTTGAAATACTCTTCCTGCCTGCTTCTCTACACACATCAAAACCTGCTCCTTTCTCTGTCAAGGAGGGGCAAGGGGGACAGGAAGCCAGACCCACCAGAAGAGAGAGGTCATGAAGAACATCTGTTTCACAGCAGGAGGGAAAAAGAAAATCAAGCTCTCTGCTGCCACTCTTTCTCTTTCCCCTACAACCTGTGAGCATCATAGTGATACCAAAACACAAGTGACAGAGTCTCTGTGTGGATACCCACGCCAAACAACTGCTCTTCCTGGCCCTGGCATCAGGCTTTGTAGGCACTAGGCATCTGTGCTCCAGGAATAGGTACTTATAGGAGGAGACAAACCCTGAGCTGAGTTCCCATCAGAGCTGGGTTGCAAGCACACTCACCTGTCCCAGGTTATCAAAGTTGTACTTGTGGTGCACCCACTTGTAGTTGGCAGCCACGCAGTCGGATCGGTTGGTGATGTTCCTGATGTCGACCCCCAGGCAGTGGTAGAACTTGCCTTTGAAGAGCTGTGAGAGAGGAGCAGCACCATCAGCCCCTTTTGTACCAGGGTCCCCCACATGCTCCCAGGGATGTACAGAAGCTCCTGAGATGGCAGGAGGGCTGCAGGGCTCTCTCTGGCTATAAAACCAGGTGGGTGGCGCAGGAGAGGCATGGGTGAACACTGGCACATTGTGCAGCCCTGGCTGATGTAGCCTGGTAAGGAGCCAGGGCCATGTTTGTAAACTCAAATCTGGCTTTTCAGCCTCCTGTACTGCCCCAGACCAGCACTGACTGTAAGTCCTCACTATCTGATAGCTCTTAGGGCAGTCTTTTGGGACCCAGTTAGAACCACTGGCCCAAAAGGAAAAAAAAAATCTTCTATACAGCCACTGAGACCAGTCTCTCCTCCCTGCCTCCCAGTCAGCTGATGGGGAAGAAAAGATCTCATCTGAGGGTAAAGAACCAGAAGAAACATCCCCTGCTTCTTAGATACTTTTTTTTTTTTTTTTTCCTGCAAATCTGCACTGCTGTGTCTCTTCTGCCCAGGGCTCCTTTCCCCATATGGAAGGTACTGGATTGTGCATTTGTACAGATGCATCAGAGCAGACTAAGTATAGCGCATTCCCTGAGATGGAAGTAACGCCCACGCCCTTGCTCCTCTGCAATGCAACTGCCGAAAATAAAGAGGATTAAATAAAAAAATAAAAGGAGGTTGTGGGTGGACTTCGGGCTGGGAGTGAGGGGGAGGAACAGAGCTGACTGGAGGCAGGGTTTGTGCAAGCAGGTATGGAGCTGCTCGCCCTTGCTGCGTGGCACGGATGTGCCCAGTGAGCCAGCCCTGGGCTGTCCCTGTAACACTGACCCAAACCCTGATCCAACTCCTGCCATGCATGCACGAGCATTAACTCCCGTCTCGCACATCCAGCAACACTTGCACTTGCTGAGCAGCTGGCTGCCCTTGCCAAAGGCCACGGGGACATTTCGGTGGGAGAAAGCTAGAAGAGGTGGGAAGCTACGGAAGGTTTCCTGGCTTGCCTGCCCCTCCTGCTCTGTCAGGGGCATAAGGGCCATTTGAGGGCAATACCAGCCCTACCTGCACACCCAGGATCCCGAAGATGATGAAGAAAGCACAGCAGATGAGGACAATGTTTCCTATGGGCTTGAGGGAAGAAATGAGCGTCTCCACCACCAGCTTCAGGCCAGGGGCTCGGCTGATGACTCTGGAAGGGAAGGAAAGGGAAGGGTGACAGAGGGACAGAGCAGAGATGTTCAACCCCAGCTAAGTACTTTCAGCAGAAGTGGGCCCCTGCTCTCCCTGTGCAGTGACTTGTCAGTGGGGAACACTCCTACCAGGGCCAAAAAGCCTCTTTTGTCCCATGGTTTGGTTGTCTGATGAGGTATCTCCAGGGCAAAGCCATATGGCTAAGGGGAACCTCCCTCTGTTTAGTGGCTTATCTAAGATGACACTTTGACCAGTAACAGCGGGGTCTGACTCTGGGACCCTTCCTGGGGGTCCAGTGGGAAGGGGAAGCAGAGTAGGACGCGGTGGGGCTCTGACCGGAGGGGCCGTAAGGTGCGCAGCAGCCGGAGGACCCGCAGCACCCCAAGGATTTTGGCACCACCAGCAGAAGCTACCGAGACCACAATGTCGATGAGGGACACAAAGACCAAGAAGCCATCCAGGATGTTCCAGCTGCTGCGGAGATAAGCCTGATCGCCAAAATACAGGCCTAGAGAAACCACCTGCAAGAGAGGGGAGACGGGTAAATGGCTCCTCCGTGTTGCCTGATAGAGGGCAGCCACCGAGAGAGAGGAAGGATGGATAATGGCTATCAACTCCATGAACTCCATATGATCCTTCCTAAGGAAGCAGCGAGGATCCATTCTGCACCCCACAATCAATCTCATCACCTTTTTCTTTTGGCTGGAAGGATATGAAGGAAAATGTCCTTGGTGAAAGTGGTGGTACATAACTCTAGAAACAACCACACTGCTTTGGAGTAGCATTTCACCACGTTTGCTTTCTCACCTCTCTTCTGCCTCCCTGAGCAACAGGACTTGGGAACATTTAGAAAACTTTTCCCTTCCATACCACAGATCTGGGGCAAGGGTCCCAGTCCAGACATCACCTTGGTTTTAGCAGGTAAAATGGGGCACCAAAACCCATCCTCTGGCTCCTACGGGAGTGGTTTGATTCACAGCAGTTCTCAACACCAGCATGTGCTACAGACATCACTGGCCCTGAGGGAGAACTGAACACTCTAAAAATCATGGCAGTAATTTAGAAACAAATTTTAGGAGGTTTAGCTTCAGGCATCCAGTTTTGAGACTCTCTTTACACAGCTTTGAGACTCTTTCCTCAACACGAGAGGATTAACAAGACTTCTCTATTGTTGCAAAGACACCTATTGAATAATTATCTTGGCTCAGAACAATTCGTTAATATCACTGTAATTTTCCCCACTCTTGCTCCAGAAGGAAGGGAATGGACATTTGACATTATTACAAAATGCATACCTGGAGGCCAGCTATTCCTCCCAGATATCAAGATCCCCTTGGTTTTAAAACCTAGGATAAGCATCCCCTCTATGCATGTTCAGAAGGGAAACACCCCAGGCAGTATGTGCCTTTATCAAGGTAGGGGGAAGGACTGGCACACGATGCAGAGATTTTAGAAGGGTGCTGGGCAAACATGAACCATGTTGTTCCTGACACTGGGAAAAGATTCTGAGCCATTCAGCTCCATTAACTTACCTTCAGCGTCATCTCAGCTACGAAAATTGCTGTGAAAATGTAGTTGGACACAGTAAGAAAGATTCTCTCCTAGAAAACAAACAAAATAAAAGAAAACAAACAAGCATAAAACAACAACAGCAAAACAGAGAAAGGCCTTAAATGCGTCTTGACTTTTTCTTGTTACTCTGTGAGGCCTCTCTGATGACCTTGATATCTTTTACTTTCCTGCAAGGGGTCTGAAGGTGGGAGGAATGAGAGGTGCTCCTGGCAAAGGTTGGTGCCAACCTTAGCTCTGCCCTGTGCCACAGCCAGGACAGATCCCACACAGCTCTCCAAAAGCACAGTGGGTGGGATTTGCAATGCATCCTATGAATCTGGTTTCAAGGTGCTCACTGCCCCAGTCTGCCAGTGCTGCTCAGTCTCCTGATCTATTGCACTACCCTGGGACTCCTTCCCAAAGGGTTTCTGAGCACTGACCTGAAATGGTGCATAACTGCAGTAGAGCTGGGGGTCAGCTAAGGCAGGGACAAAAATAAAAATAAAAATAAATAAATAAATAAATAAATAAATAAATAAACCCAGAAATTTCACTTGCCAGCGCAGTCTCTTTTCCCTTTGACACACTCCAAGACAGCTCAAAATCAGTGTACATGAACGATAGCATACCATTCCTACAGAGGGTTTGCTGCACATACAATTTGCTTCTGTTTATTTCCCAGTCCCCACCTTTCTGGCAAACAATCATGTAACAATCCTTTAACAATCCTGTAACAAACCTTTCTGGCAAACAATCAGCAAACAATCAAGAGTAACCATGGGAACTCTTACCATGGTTAGGGAGGGAACTAGGACGAGCCTATTACAAAGAGGATTGCTGCATTGCAAGACCCCACAGGAGAAGCACATACGATGTGAATTGCTAATACATGGGCATTTGAATAGATGAATGGGAGTTAGTGTTTAATGCTAAGTTTTATCCAGAAGCCATTCTGGTGCCAGGAAGACTTATGCACCTATGTCAAATGTTGTGTTAAAAAGTAGGTGGGAGGGAATGGTGCTCACCGTGCTTCTGTGTTCAATCTGCGGTCTCTCCAGGGCAATGGTGATGCAGTTCAGGAAGATGAAGGCCAGCACAACATAGTCAAAGAGCTTGTGAGCAATGATGGTTTGGCAGAGGAGGCGAAACCTGCAAGAAAGTTCCAGTAGGCACCTGTGCTTTGGGCGGAGAGAGTTTAGGAGCTAGGAGCACAGAAAATTGAGTGATCTGGCCAAAACTGAGCTCTGATGTGGTGGCTCTCCTATTCCTAATACTGATGTCTCTTGCCATGGCAGTATTTTGGCATAGCCCAGCATGGGGCAGAGCAAGGAACTGAACTTTAATGCATTGCCCCAGTGCCAGAGTGGTCTCCTAACCACTACGACCCTGTTCTCCTCTCTTGCCCTGTAAAGGAAAAGTTGTTTCAGTTTCCCTCCCAAACTCACACCAAGGCAAAGAGGCCACATGCAGAAAGCTGAGGACAGGCAGGTAGGTTGGCTGTCACGGGGAACACACCTCTGCCTGCTCTGATGGACACTGCCCATTAGCACAGGTGTCACACGAAGCAAAGAGCTCTCCTCCATGGGCTGTAACACAAGCCCCTTCACTTCAAGGGGCAATGTCCATTGGTAAGAATAGTGATGTCTGGTTTACATGAGCATTTTCTCCCAGTGGGAAGAGCCCTTTAGCAGAAAGAATGTATTTCAAAATGTTTGTGGTGTTGTTGTTTTGTTTTTCAGGCATGGAGAATTCTAACTTTGCCCTAAAAGGTGTGATATGACTGCTGATAAGTTGGCACTGGGACTGAAAATGGAATGGAGAGGCTGTTCCGGTACCAAGGGAGGAAATACCATTGTTATGGAGTCATTAATAATACATTTCTTCTTCTTTCTGAGTTAATGTCAGTATTCCCTACCTCACTTGGCTATAAATATTTATGATTACACAGAAGAAAAATGGAATGCTCCAAAGGGAGGAGAAATCACAATAGCCATTTAGGATTCACATCCTCCCTTTCATCTCCAGAATCAAGGAAGAGACACATTGTTTGACTGTAGGAGAGATGGAGGAGACAAAACACATTCTCAATTGACAAGTTTAAAGTTTCAACCCAATGTCCAGGCTCAGGGGATGCATGGCAACAAAATCTGTCTCTCCTCCTCAACCCTCTCATGGCAAAAACTGCACAAACCTGTTTTGAGGAGAAAAGAGATATATGGACCAGTCTTCCCGGAGCTCACACCAGTCTGGCTTATAGACTTCCATCATCTTCCGGATGCGAAAGCACAGGCTCTGGAGAGATGCAGCAGAAGCAAGTGTCACTGGTTAACTTCCCATTTGCCTGACAAAGGCACTCGTCCTTTCTCATATGATCCCAAAACACCACTACCTGGTGTTTCCCAGGTGCACTACCTGCCTTTCTTAAGCACCTGCATGAGGAGATGGGCCCAAAGAACAAGCCACAGAAGAGGAGGTAGGCACTGCTTTGCCGTGGCCTGTTTACCTCTCAGCTTCTGATTTCTTTCACGCATCGTTAGAAATACTACTGCTGGTATCCTATCTAGGGAAGGATATTGTCCGTGATGCCTTCTCAGATGTCTTCTGTTGGCACTTGGGATCAGAGGTGATTCAATTTCATACAGTGTGTAGGTCTGCTTAAATTTCTGCTGATCCTCCCTCCACTCTTTCTACCATTTGATCTGCTTACAAACTGGACATTGCAGTCTCCCAGTCTGGCACAGCAAAATCCACTTGCCTTCTCTCTTGCTCCTCTGCTTCCTGCTCTGGTCTGCCGATGTTCCTAAGGCAAAGCTCTTGCTTCTCACAAAGACCCACCTATCCTCACCTGTAGAGATCACTGGCGGCACTGATCTGAAATAACAGCCTCCAAATGGCCATGCACGTGCCTCACCTCTGCCTTTCTCCCACCACCCACCTGCAAGACTACCTCATGGGCAGCCTGATGATGATGTGGGCTTAACTGGGCCCAGAAGACCCCACCTACATTCAGTGATGTCCTCCAGCTTGTACTTAAAGCACTTGAGGATGGAGCTGGGGTTTCCCACAGCACCGTAGTACAACCCCAGGTGCCCTGCACCAAGTACTCACATAATCGATCTCTTCATCATCCTCCCCACGCTCCTTGCGGTTGTTCATCTTTGGGAAGATCTCCTTGGCAATACTGGGCATTTTGCCATTGCAGTCTTGATGCTCGCTGGCCCCTGGCACCGTCCCGAGCTTACGGGTCCCTCTGTGGGTGGATGGGACAGAGGCCAACTCCAGCAGGTCGCAGGAGCCTTTGTTGTCCAGGGAGAGTGTCCGGCGGTGATGAAACACCCTCCCTGCCCCATCTGGCTCCTTATCTCCTGCCCTGTGCCTCTCCCCGGACAGGAGGGACTCGTGCTCGGCAGAGGGAGGTTTGTGCTTCAGGCTGTGTCCTCGGGCCAGGCTGTTCCAGCTGGAGCGACGGCTCCCCCAGGCCCCGCTGCGGCCCCAGGCCCCGTAGTGGGAACTGCGAGAGCTGGACTGTAAGAGAGCAGGACAGGGATTCAGCCATCCCGGACACAGGAAGGGAGCATGCTGCCCTGTTTCAGGCCACAGACTTCTCCAGGTGGACTTTTTTTAACCCTCAAGGAAGGTGTGTGTTGGGAAAGTAGTGGTAATCGCTGTAAATCTAACGACAAATTGATAATGAGCTAGTGATGGTGTTGGCTGCGATCACTTTATAGCACCATCTGTGTGCAAGGCACTTAGAGGGAAGGTAAACGATAAAGCCAAAGGCCAGGTGCCTGATGTTGTTACTTACACCAGCACAGAGCAAGAATGAAGCTTTCCAAAAATCTGATCAGCAGCATTTTACACTGCCCTGGGGTGAAAGATAATACAAGGTACGGGGAGATGGATAATCTGTCACACCGTCTTTGAATACAGTCTTCATAAAAGGAAGAAATGAGACAAACAGGCTTGTTGGTTACGGCCTAGTCCAACTGCATCAGCAACTTATCACGTAGCACATGGCTGCCAGCTCTCCCTGTTTAAAAATAACAAGGGCATGAACGCTCCTAGCACTGATGCATCCTCCTCAAAACCTGTGTGTGTCAGTGTGCAGAGAGCCCAGAGACTGATGTTACAAGGTGGACAGGTCTGAGACACGTTGGCTGGACAGTGCTAAGGGGCAGCAGGATCTTCTGTGAGGAGCTTCAAGTCAAGAGTTCTCTCATTGTAAAAATAAAAAGCTACCAGAAAAACTATCTGTTATGGGACTTGGCAGTTCTGACAGCACCCAGACTTTCCTATGCTCTCAACTCACTCGGGGCATTGTTTTTGTACATGGTGCTCTAGGAAAACGGGGAAGGGCAAGAGGACAAAACACGCTTCACTCTAAGAGGAAGACCCTGTCCTCTTGGCATTTCCCCTCTCCTACCAGCAGAATATAAGAGCTGAAACCTACACTTAATGGAGTATTGATCAATAACCTTGAAATATAGGTAAATAACCTAGAAATATAGGTAAATAACGTGCACTGTCCTGGCTTCCTAAGGGCAAGCAATGTGTCTGTGTTAGAAGCCTACAGCAGCAATGCAATCCTCCATAGCAGTCTCCCAGCTGATGACAGAAAGGCAACGGAGTCCTTGGATTTCAAAAGAAGGGTATCACACGTGTTTCTACTCACTCACTCACCAAGGACCGCTGGTCATAGGTCATTCTCCCCAGGGACATCACGCTGCTCTTCCGGGAGCCAACAGCAACACGGATCTGGTCAGGCTGCAGGGAGTTACGTGAGGAGTTGGTGACCCCCCCAGCAGCCACTGGTGGGTTGGAGGAGGGCAAGGATGGGTCCAAGTGTCCATTTGGTGTCACAGGAATGGCACAGAGCTTGGGATCTGGGTAAAAAGAAGAAGAAAGAGGGAAAAAAAGAGAAACAAATAAGGTTGGTTCCTCCCCATCTGGTGACTGTTTCAATGTCTAAGCTGCTTAGCATATCAGCAGCAGCTAGCAGTGTGTTAGCTCTGTGGTCAGCATTGATTCCTTCTCTTTTAGGGTGCTCTAGCAAAAGTGATGCAAGCTAGAAAGACTTTGTTCTCCTCGATCCCCCAAAATGACGGCAGTTCTCCTTGAGGCCAGAAGGCAGCTTTCCTTGAGGCAGAGTGCTGGTCAGGCAGACAGGCAGAGCAAGAGGCTGAACCCTGGCAGCAAGGGGAGGAGAGCGTGCTTCTGCGTGCCAAGAGCAGACACCTGCATCTCCAGGTCTGAACAGATACCACCAACTGTCAGACAGGCAGACACTGGCTATTTAAAGCTGTTAGGCTGAGACACTGAGCAAGAGAGGAAGATGTGGGGAGACCCACAGCCATCCGTGCTTCGGGTTCTGCTTTAAATTCCTGTGATCAGACTCCTCATCCCAGCCTATCCTACAGGGGGCCTCTTCAAATGACTGATCGCCGACCTTGAAGATCCAGGGCACCTTCGAGGGCTGTGTTAGCTTCTGTGAAAAACCACTGACATTTGTGAAGATGGATAGGAAGGATAGGGTACTGGCCTTTAACACCTGAAAGGGCTGTAATAATCATTTCTATTTGACCTACTGAATAATGAAGGTCACATATCCTTGCCTGCACTCAGTATCACAGCTCTGCAACCTTTTCCCCACCTGTCCTTCTGGGGCTTTCGCTGCCTACATTCAAAGTGAGCTCTGATATAGTGCGGCTTTGTAACCCAGGATCAGACTGCTGTGAAAACAGCTAAGTTGTGAGAAAGGGCTATGACAAGCCAGGTCTGGAGACTACTTCTTGCCACGGGAGCTGCATTTAAGCTCAGCCCCACATCTGTAGTCCTTGCCTGGGTTATGCTGTGCCTGTCCTTGCACATTGTGGATCCTGACCTTGTCTTGCTGAATGAACTTCTTGGCTTGACCTTGGACCTGCCTCATCCCTGCGGACATGCTTGGCAATCACTCAACCATTGTTAGACCCTGGCTACCATCAGCAGACCTGCCCAGCTCACCTCGTGCAAGTACTGTACCTTTGTTGGTGCAGTCTCTGCCCTGACTCCCTGAATGCCCCCCTCACCATCCCTTTCAGAGCAGGCTACTCGCACTGCTCCCTGCCACCAAGTCCTGTCTGAGGCATAACACCTTTTGTAGAAAGACTTGCAGTCTTCAAGGAAAGACTTCAAGGAGTGGAGACCTTAACCGGCAGTTTGTAGGCAGACTGTTCCAACAGTTAATTATCCTTCCTTAAAAATATGTGGCTTTTTTCAGTCTGAGTTTGTCTAGCTTCAGCTTCCAACCTTTACAATCTCATTATGCTTTTTTCTGCTCAATTAAAGAGCCATCTACCATCAGAAATCTATCCTTATGGTCGGCACTTACAGAGTGTGTGATCAAGTTACTTCTCCAGCTTCTCTAAGCTTCATTAGCTTCTCACCATGAGGCAGGGCTTCCAGATTTGTCTGAGTCCTTTTTAATGTGTTGGTATCCCCTCTCCAAATGTGGCTCCCAGATTTGAACACAGTGTTCCTTGAAATGGTGCCCCTGAAGCTGAGCAGAGACGGTGTCATCTTCTCACTACTATTTGCTGTTTTTCAGATCATTCGGGAACTGCTCCCCTTAGCTATCACATTCCAATAGCACCAGGTTTCCACCAATAACACCACAAACTAGCATAAAGTTCAAAATGAAACCCAGAAAATTCTACCTTGGAGATGGGAGTGAATTTTCTGCTGAATTTGCTTTCAAAGTTCTTACTAAACAGCAATAGGATGCAAGCAAGTGAGGCTGTTTGAGCTATCATACCTGAGCCTTCCTGGACCTCTTGGAACTGATCTAACTCCTCTATGTTTGATGAACTCTGATCTTCCTCTGAGTATGACCGGTTGGCATCACCCTGGAACACACAAATGAAGAAGCTGGGAACTCATAAACAGAAAAGACCTTTTTTTTTTTTGTATTTCATTGCTGGAACAACTGTAAAATCTTCCGTGGCAGCCATGCATCAGCATGAGCACTGGGGAGTCCAATGGGACCTGGGATGGCTGAGATACTGTGTTCTTGCTTTAGGAGGTTGAAAGGATTCACCTTTGCAGGTGTTGCATGGGACAGAAATTATGAACTCCCTTCTAGAGGGCTTGTCTCTTTCATTGTAAAGATTAACACTGTCATCTATTTTTTAGAGATACCCACCCTGAACTTCAGAAGGGAAATGGCAAAGGTGTGATACTTTGGGAGTCCTCCACCCTAATACCCTCCAAGTGTCTCAAAGGTCCCGTTTTTAGCACCTCTCTTCCTCTTCTCCATGGAAGAAGCTTTGGTGACAACTTACCTCAGCCTGGAATCCCTCCACAAGGATGGCCACCAGCAGATTGAAGAGCACATAATTGCCAAATGTCATGAGAGCCACAAAGTAAAGGGATGCCCATGGTGAGGTGGAGGCCATGCCATTATAGAGCACAACATTCCAGTCCTCTTGGGTTAGGATCTGCAACCAGGAGCAGAGCAATGCAAACGTGAAGGAAGAATGTGGAAGGAAAAAGACAGTGAAAGCACTTCAGGATGCACCAGGCCTCTTAGTTTCTCCATAACCACACACCTACTACCCATTGTTATGTCCTGCTGTGGTACTGCCCCAATAATGCTAGCTGAGCAAGAATAAACAAGAAGAAACATGAGGGCAGCCATGTGCTCAGGTGACAGTGTTAAACACAGACATTGCCACAACAGAAGTGACCTTTACAAACCCTCTCCTACGAAGGAAGGAGAGAGAAATTCCCTCTCTCTGAGAAATACCAGTCACCGTGGTACAATTGCTCTTCCTCTTTTGACCTTCAAATGCTGGAGCCTTTTGTGCCATCAGAAGAGAGTTCAATTCTCCACAGTGAGAAAAAACACCTCCTGGTCCTCACTTTGCCTTGTCCTGTATTGGCAGGGTGCATGAGGCACAAACCTACAGACAACAGTCCTACCCATGGAGAACAAAGCTGGCTCACCTGGAAGACGGTGACGATGGCCCACAGCAGGGAGTCAAAATTCTTCCGGTCGGGAATTGTATCTCCTGTGTCCGTCCTGAGGCTAAACTTGCAACCAAAGATGTGCATTCCGAGGATGCTGTCGGCACAGGAGGAGGAATTAGTGCTAAATTTAAATCTCTCTGTCATACAGGTGCTAGAGAACAACGCAGCCAGGCCACTGGGACCTATCCATGAAGAATTCATGTGTTGCAAACCAATAGCTCACCACAAAACCTCATGTCCCATCACATATTGCCTCCAGCCTGTCTGACCAGTGCATCCACAAAGCACACTGACAAATTTTCTTGGGTGCTTCCTTCTGTCAGCTCATAGGCTGAACTCTTCCTGCAGCCACTGCTGATTGCCAAGCGATGCCACCCATCTTGCAATGGGGCATTATGCTCAGTGCATGCATTTGGTGGCAGCATTTCTCCACCCCGTCCAGGACAAATCTTCAGCTACTGAACCCGATTTAGGGCAGCAGGGGCCTCAGCCTCTTTGGGTGAGTAAATTTCTGTCAGTGCTGCCTAAGATGACAAGATGAGCCATGTGTTTGTGCACTGAAGTTGCTGCCAATACGAACTGTGAGGCAACTGCCTCCTCACCTGAAGATGAAGATGAAGAGCATAAGGAGCATGCAGAAGGTGGCCACGTTGTCCATAGTCTTCATCAGCACCACGAGCTGGCGGCGCAGTGCGGGCATGAAACGCACCAGCTTCAGCACCCGCAGGAGACGGAAAGTCCTCAGCACAGAGAGGCCCCCGTCCGACTGGCCGATGATCTCCCAGATGCTATGGCCCAGAGAGGCACAGGGAGTGCAAGAGACAATATAAAAAGAGACATGAACAGGCAAAGACAGAACAACAATGCTCATCCAAGTTATCACCTCCACATGGGCAGCATGCACAGAGGGGTCAGAGAGAAAATCTTCTCAAACAATATGCAATTAGAAGTACATGCTACAGGGTTATACTCGTGTCAAAAGCTGCATTTCTCCCTTCGTGAACATGGCACTGCATGTTGCAGGACAGAGGAAAGGATTGTAGCACTAAGCCCTAGCAAATCAAGTTCTTCTAGCACACATTAAACCTCTGTGGCATCCTTAATTTGTGCATTTCAAAAAATATTTCACAGCTAATATTTGTTGTGGACTTGCAAGACAATTGAGATGGCCTCTGCTCTACAGAGGAGAGAAGAGAGGGGCAGAAATGCTACGTGGTTTGCCCAGAGTTACCAAAAATGTTGGGAAATGACTTCTCAATCTCTCAATCCTTTGCCTTGTGCATCAGCTCAACTCTTTTTTTTTGTTTGTTTGTTTGTTTAAGCTGCTAAATCCTTTTGGAAAAGGCATATGAAAACATGCACGCTTTACAGTGTTTTTTATTATATATATTTCAGTTGATCCCCAAGGCCCTTGTCACCTGATGATGACGATGATGCTGTCAAAGATGTTGTAGGGGTTGCGGAGGTAATCAAAGAGACCAAAAGCAGCAAGTTTCAGGATCATCTCTAGGGCAAACATGCTTGTAAAGACAACGTTGCTTATCTCCAAGATGTTGGTCAGTTCCTCTGGCTGGAGAGAAGGCAAATTCAGAGTCAGAACTGAAAGAACAGAACAGAAATAAAGTGCCACCATTCCCAGGGGACAGGCTCTGTAGGGAACTGTGAAGGACCGTGGGTGAGATTTGAATGGGACAGGATACAGCCACCTTTGCACTCCAATTCCTTTCCACATTTACTACCTTCATCATAGATTACATCTCTAACAAATTCTTGTATGGCAGGGAGCTCCACAGCCTTTCACGCACACGAGGCTGACCAAGCATCTCCCACATCCTACTGTATTCACTGGCCCCCTGGCTAAAGGCTGATTCACTTTGTGCAAAGAACTTGAGTACTTCTGAAGCAAGGCAAAAGTGGCTGATCTGTGATATCAAGACTTTGCTTTGAGGTTTCCACATACCTGGCACAACTTGTTTTTGAAATTTCCAAAACATTTGAATGTCAGAAAACAGTTCCCCATTTTCCTTTAAATCTCACTGTACTTTTTTGTTCATTTTCCATGCTTTTTTCCCCCTGCCTTCCTCATTTTCTCTTCACCCACCCCCCAATAAATCCTTGATGTGCATCAGCTTTCCTCATCTTGCTCCGGCACTCTTCTCATGTCTCTGTCCTATGAGTGGTTTCAATAATTACCTAAGGAAATATTAGGTTGGATGAATAACACAACTATGAGGAGGGGCACACTGCTAACACCTCCCTGTATGGGACAGGAAGAGCAGGACAGGGTGAGGAAAAGAGAGAGAGCAAGAGGAGAAAGACAGATGTACAAGGTGAAAATCTCCAGGGATGACACAAGACGACTGCGTAGAAGAAAATGAAAAAAAAAAAAAAAAGAGGAAAAAGGACAAAAAAAAAAAAAAAAAGGCAACCTGACCCTGCCCCAGGCACTTTCTTCTGTTGAATCTCTGACACATCTTTCAGCCCCTGTGAAACAGCCTCTTCCAGCAGTGACCGATGTGTTTGTGCATAAGAGAGAAAGTGTTTTAATGACTCCATCAGTGGAACAAGACTGAGCAAATTAAATTACTCCTCCTTTTGTTTTCTGAATTAATGACTTTCTTCACTGTGTGCAGCCTTGGAAACTTCTCTGACAAGGTTAGCAAAGGGTCTAGACTGTTTCCTCAGGAATGATGAAATGTTGCTTCAGAGGGAGACAGAGGCTGCACTGATGTCATTGATGAGGGATGCCAGGTTCTTGCTGCCCCCCTGTGTGAAACGGAGGCATTCCCTGTGCTGAATTTGGGATGGACAAAGCACCTCTCACCCCAGTGATTGGGAGTGCACCAGGCCAAACAGCAAGGGCTGAGGTCTCCAATAAGGCCAGATGCATGAGGGGCAAGATGTGTGCAAGCTTGCCCATGCTTATGCATGCTCAGACACACACATGTACAGCCCATGGAGACCATCATGCAATGGCCAGGTATTAAATTTTCCCTAAGTGAGAGAAAAACCTCCTCCCAGTATAGTGGGTTGCATCCTGGAGCCAGGCTGCACAACCCATGGACTTCAGACCACACGAGACTGTTACAGTGATTCATCTGGCTGCAGCACGTTGCTGGTCATCACCTTCCCAAGCAGCAGCGGGTAGGAACCTGTTCCCGATGAAGGTATGTCACCTTCCCAACCCAAGGGACAGGACACAGCAGATCCAAGGCACTTCCTCAGGGCTCCACTGTCCCAATTTTCCATGTTTACCTTAGGGCAAGTATGTCACACATCAGATAAGGTTATCTATTTGATGTTAACTTACTGTGCCACTGAGCCTCAGCTCCAAGCCTTCAAGGTGAGTCTGACCCAGGCCCTGTAGTGGCAGGCAGTAGTACTCTCACTGTCTGCTTATCCATGCTAAAAAGGTAGCCAAAGACTCCCCCCTTCCTTCACATTGCTGTGAGCTATGCCTGGATACCAGGTCACTCTCTTAAGCATCACCTTCTGGTTCTGGACCTGAACCTCCCCCTAAAGCTGGACCCTATTCTTGGGTCCAAATCTGGCTGTCCTCCTCCCAGATGAATAAATCTGGCTGTCCTCCTCCCAGATGAATAAATGGACTGGAAACTGCACCTCTCACAGTTCATGTTGTAACTTCCCATGTCTTTTGCTAATTTCTTGCACTCCTCGGGTACAGGTTTTTATTGAAGTAGTCCATTTCTTGAAAATCAAGAAAAAAAAAAAAAGTGGAGATGGCTCAATTTATATCCATAATTACATTTGAATAACAAAACCATCCTGAAAATGAAGGGGAGAGGAGGGGAGATTAGAGTGAAGAGAGGGAAAGAATGAGCAAGTGCACACAGGAAGGGAGAAATGAAGATCACTTCACTGAGAGCCAGGCACTAATGACACCAGCCGGAAACATGAGGTCCATATGCTAAACAGAGATGCCAATTTCAGCTTGAATCAAATGATTATGTCAGTGAGAATGAGGAATGTAAAAAAGTAACAGGCTATGATGGTGGATTATCCTCCTCTCTGCTGTCCATGCTTTCTCTCTTGTGCTGTCATAGGGAGCAATTGATGTTTGAAAAGCCATGCTTGCATCTCACTTATGGAAAAGGTCACCTGTTCCCCTGTCTCTCCTTCCCTCCCTGACATCTGTTTCTTTAGTCAAGCCTCCACCTGTTAATCTTTTTCTAATGGGCCATCAATCAGACTCAGCAAAGCATCCTTCCTAGAGAGAGGGGCAGGAAGAACTGGGTAGGGAAAGAAAGGAGACATGAGCAGAGAGAAAAGCAGCAAGAAGAAACAAAACAAAACGAAACAAAACAAACAAAAGCAGAAAAAAAATAGCAAAAAGTCCGTTCATATTGTCAAGCCAGGATAGATTGGTTTAGCCATCACACGGAGAGAGAAACTTAAACAGAACTATGGGAGATAAGGATTGGGCTGAGGATGGTGGCCTGAAGGGGAGAGAGCCCAGGGGGTAAAGCATGCCCAGAGCCAGTGTTTTAACCAAACTGGTTTGCCTGTTCTGCCTCTGTCCAAATCCACACAGCTACCTAATTCAGCTCCCCATGGTGCTAAATCCTTCATCCCTATCAGTGCGGATCAAACACTGGGAGTATTTGCATGATTCAAGCCTTCAGGGCTCCAGACCAGTGATCAGAAACTAGAACTGGGGCAGTAAAGAGCAGCGGCTCAGCCTTCTTTTTTTTTCCCCTTTTCAGTTTCTTACTAATTAACATTAGAATTCTTATCTCAGATTAGACTGAAAATGTAATTAGCTCATTATCTGACAGCAGCCAGAAACTCCCACACTGTCAGAAAAGTTAGGAATATGCAGACCACCATGAAGCCACTGCAGGAGGAGTTTCTTCTGACCAGGACTAAATTGGCAGCTGTCTAGAAGCTGAAGAGTGATTGATGTAATCTATGATTGATGTAATCTATGTAGACCAGCCCTACCAAATTCCACCTGCACATCACTGCCCTTGAAAGCATGACCGAAAAATTCCATACAGAGGCCTCTCCAGCCTGTCCATTTTTATACATCATTTCAAAGTTACTTGACAATAATCAGAAAAGTCACGGAAATCAGCCATGGAACGTACCAGCTAGCTTTTACTTTCTCTAGTCACCACAACCGATGCAGGATTTCATAATGTTTTGTTATTCCCTAGTTTTACAAGACTTAAGTGATGTCGTTTCATCCACCACCCTGGGGAGACTGTTCCATCATTTACTAAATGTCAGTATGATGAGCTGGCTTGGACACTTGCTGAATGTTTCTGACAAGCAGCAAATAGCAAAAAGAGAAGCAATAACTGTAAAATATGAAGTAGTGGATCCAATAAATGCTGGTATAAAGGGAAATCATGCAGGCTAACGGATATGAAGGTGCCGATTCACAGGACTGGTCTAGCTGGGAGACGTGATCATCTCCTGATCCACACCTCATAAAGTATTGATCTGATGCACAAAGAAATACTGGAAGTAGATCCTATAGGAGGGAAACCAAGGTACTCTGTATTTGTCTTACTGGCTACTAAAGGCAAAGATGTGCAAGTCCAACAGACCATTTGAAGAAAATGAGAAAGGCAGCCTGGGACATTCAGCTGGGACCAGCCTTTCATCCTCATGCTGATGAAGGGAAAAAAAGCAAACAGCACCAGATCCTCTGTGAATATCAAAAAAAAATAAGCTTCTTTAAAGGATCCTTCTGGACAGCCACAAGCATTTAATATCTTGATTTTCTACACTGGATTTTAAAAATAAGCACTTCCAAGCAGAGGCAGATCTGAAAAACTGCAAAAACTATTTCAAGCAGGACAAAGCTTGAAATGATGGATTTCAGCTTGTGCAATGTCCCAGCAATATCTGAAGACCTAATACTGAGGGTATTGCGTGGTATAATGCAATGATGGATTTGTATGAACTTATCTATTTACAAGTGATAACTTGTGATAAGCTTAAGGATTAAAAATGACTCAGAGCAGACAGTTTGTCCCAAAATGAGCTGATCTCCCTCACAAGAAATGTGTAAGGAGATGGGAAGGTGCCTTGGCCACACAAGCAGGACAGGAGAGAGAACCTGATGGATGAGACAAAATTTAAAGGTGAATTGGATGCAGGTAAAATGGTTTGAATTGCTGAGGTTAAGTTTCCTGGAAGGAAAACAAACAAAAACCATTGTGAATATTAAAAATGTGAATTGTAACAGAATCTGGTCCAACCCCCCCTCACTCAACACACAGATCATTTAAATTTATGGTTTTCTTTCTGCTGGTCAAGGCTCAGGAATTGAAGGCTAGACTTGCACACTGCCTCTGTCCTCAAGATTCCTCTGTTTCTCAGCCTAAGCCCTGTGCCCAGCTCCTGCAGCCTCTCTCCCCCATTACCCTGCTGGTTGCTGGGTGCATTGGTCTGTGGGCCACCTCTCATCCATATAGTCCATGAGGAAGTGGAGCAGCACAGAGCTGATGGACGTGCTGTGAGCTGCTCACAGGACCGCTCAAACCTGCAATGCCTTCATACACACTCCTGCCCAGACAGATATGTCCCGGTGAGAGGCTGGGATTGTGATCTCTCATGCCCCAGAAAATCAAAGCTCAAGGGGTCTCCATTCCTGTTAGCTCTCAACTGGAAGAGATTCACACAATGAAGCAGCAGAAACAACAGAAACGACTTCAGTCACAGGATGGTGTCACCCTGCAAATCCCAGATCTCTGGGGGCAGAAGGGTTTCCTAGACATTATTCTATGAAAATTTGTGTTTCTAGATGGAAATGTATCAGGAAAAAGAGAAAGGGAGGAGAGAAAAGGAGACAGCGAAGCACCAGTCTGAGAGATATAACAGTAGCAGGGCTTGAGAAAAAATCAAAAAGCAAAGAGAAGTGCACGCACATGCCTCTGTGGTTTTGAGTTAACTACAGACCAAAAAAAATGCTTGGAATTAATGTTATGAACTACTTTTTTATTTTTTATTTTCTTGTGCCAGGTAAACAGGACTCAGCACACATTTTAAATAAACAGGCTGCACTACATTTTTCAGTTATGATCAATTTGGTCAACATCTTTTTTTCTAGTAGGAACAGCCCACAGGGCCGTGAGCTTTTCCTAGGTACTTATGGATAAAAAGTGATAGCATAACTTTAAGGATGTGTCATTAATAACCTGCTACTAGAAACCCTGAGGCTGCAGGCAGATCCTGCTCTGCTGAGGGCTGTGCAAACACAGCAGAGGCAGCCCAGAAGGGCTTAAATTCACATACACAATAGCCAGAGAGTGAATTCGCTACCTCCAGCTCAAATACTCTTCTGTTAAACTCTTAATTCACGCAGTCTCCAATAAGCCAAAATGAACAATGCCTCTCCCTGCTTGGTGCCTGCATCAGTGGGCAGTTTTCACATTGTCCTGGGCTTCAACCCTTAGTCATCTTTCTGCTACGTGATAAATACATCGCTCTTTTTTATCTGTTTTCATGAGTCAACCCCTCCAGCCTCTTCTTCATTCTCCTCTCCTCTGAGCTCCTGCCAGTGTTTTTCTGGTACTGAAGCATACAGAGCAATTTTGCATTCTGGGATCAAATTAAGGTTCCCCATCCTCATATCAGAAATCAGCTGGATTTTGAAAAATGGTCTAATGCTTGGTATATGGGTGGCATCCAGACATCTGGGGCTTCAAATACTGGCTCAGCCACTGCGTTGCCTCAAACAGGGAAATTAAGGTGCTCTGGGTTTCAGGATATCTCCATCCTGTTACAGCACAGGGCAAGTCTGAGTGCCTGCTTAAACCAGTCTCACTACCTGTCTCATTGCTACCTGAGACTATTCAGGGCCAGAATTGGACTTGGCTCCAAAGCTCCCTGATGCAGACAGCATCTCAGCTGTGGACCAATCCCCTATTTTTGTGATCTTGACAGATACGTGGGGTGAATCACGGCCACATTCAGACTGGTGGTGTGGATTTGAAGCACAGATGTACATCGTAGACTCCTTTAACCCAAAGTGCAACAGAGCTACCAGACAGCAATGCAGATGCAAGGTCACGGACATATTTAATACCCTCTCAAGACTGCTCTGCACATCACAGAGTAGACATAGCCTCTGTTTCCCAGCTGTAAAATAAGGGCACACAATCCTTCTCCATCTCACAAGTCTGTCATTAGGATAAAGTGCGCTGCTGACTCAGAGCTGCCTGAAAACTATTGGCACGAAAGGCAAACCTGTGCCCACACCTGCTGTCTATGCCTTGACCTATATCTATCACTTCTTGCTGTCAGGGCAAAGGAAAGGCTCAAGCCATCTGAGCCCCCAAAAATGACTGGAGGTGGGAGGTGGTGCCTTTCCTAGCCTTCTTGTGCAGATAGACTGTGCTCAGGCATCTCTTAATTAAGCTGGAAAGGCTAGCAAGCTGATGGATTTGAATTGAGATGCTGGTGAAGTGCCTGTGACATCCCCAGAGGGCACATTAAATTAACCAAATAGACTAAGGATTCAGTAAGCTAATGAAGAGAGAAACGAGAGAGAGATGAGGAAGATGGAAGAGGCGAGGGTGAAGGAGAGAGAAGCAGATGGAGAGAGAAGACAGAGTAGAAAAGAAAAAGAGGGACGAAAGTGAGAAGGGATGAGGAAAAAGAGGGACTGAAGGGAACTGAGTGGAAAATACATGGAGGCAGAAAAAGTGATTAAGTGCAGGGATAGGGAAAAAATGACCCTGCAATATCCTGAGGCTTTCTCAAAGCCATGCTGGGACCATCTGTGCTATGGCCTGGGGTCCAAATTGCTCAATCTCTGCCTCCAGCGGGTTGCACCTGCTGCTTAGCCAGGCCGTATCCCTGAGCACAACTCTCCGTTCCCCACCTCCCACCCTGCGTGTCTTACCTGCTCGTGGTGCTCAATGCCCATGCTGATGGTGTTCACAAGGATCGCGATCATGATCCCACGGTTGAAGTACTTGCTGTCCACAATCCCTCGAAGCTTGACCCTCACTTCCCGCCACATGTCACTGCAGAGCTTCAGCCGTCCGCCTTCTTCCACCTCCTCCTCCTCCTTCTCCGGTGCTGAGGCACCCTGGTCCCCTCTGCTGCCCTCTCCCTCCTCTTCACTGGCTCCTCCGTCCTCCTGGTCTGAATCAGCGCTGCCCAGGACAGAGAGTCTTCGGGATGCGTCATGTTCCCCCCTGTGGCATCGGGGACAGTTGGTGGGATCAGAGGTTGCTGTCACAGCAATGGGCTGGACCAAGCCCTGAGGAGGGCAGTCAAGAGAGTTGTGCTGTTGGCAAAGCCCTGGGGAGAGAAATGATTGTGCTTAAAAGAGAAAGCATTGTTTCCTCAAAAAAAAAAAAAAAAAAAAAAAAAAAAAAAAAAAAAAGGCATTCAAGCTGGGCACCTGTTTGACTTTGGGGATTTTAGACACTGTAACAGGGCTTTTTAGCTGTAAGGATGATTAAACACTGGCAAATCATCTCAAGGGCAGCAATAAAAGCCATTGCCGTTGGGTGCTTTACACTGACTGGCTGTGTCACCAGAAGGCATGGTACTGTTCATCTGCCAGTGATTAGGCTCAGCGGGGGTTCATGTCCATCAGAGGAAGAACTGTTTTGTCTGATGCAGAAATCATAGCTTGGGACTCAGTCACTTGTATTAAGTGTGAACTGAGGGAAAAAGGATCATGAGGGCTGCCTCTGGCCTGAACAGATACAAGGGGGTCCAAGAACCCAGACACTGAGCTGAACTCTCTAAATTAGAGATGCTACATTAGCAAAGCATCTCTAGAAGACAGAAGAGGTAACACAAGAGCAGTTCTTCCTGATAGTCCATGCACTCTGAATCAGAATGATCTGCTGACTTCAGTGAGAAAACCAAGTTCCTCAAATCTCCAGTCGCGCCTGGAAGATCAAATGGACACTTGTGGGAATGAATCAATTAATTAATTAACACAGTGCATGAGAACTGCAGAAACCTTTTCAGTAAGTAAAGAAAATGAAAAACTGAGTATGCAAGACTAGCTGAAGGAAAATCTGTCTTTTTGCTTGTTAACTGAGAGCATTTCTTACGAAAGACATCAGCAGGCAGTTAATACTAACTCTATAATACCATTTTTACAGTCACTTTTCAGGCCAGGAATCCAATTTAAATGGTACCTCATGTCTAATTTTACACAACAGGATGTGTTCCCATCAAGAGAAATTGTCTCGATTGCCCTTGCACATCAAACTGACTTCTTCAATGTTGCTCTTCTCTCTTGGCTCTGGGGACACCCTATTGCAGTTCTACTCCCTTTTGCTTCTCTCCTAAGGTCCCATAGCGACTCATTTTGGGAGCAGAGTTCTGGGGGACCAGCTGTATCACCTAGCCCAATCCTTAGTCCCACTGCCTCATATTTCCCTAATACGTCTCTTTCCCAAACTGCCATCACTCCCCTACTATACCAGACCTCAAATCCTTTCCAAGACTCAATCAGTGTTTTTAATATTGTCACAATTTGTTTTCAGATCTGGGTTGCCTGTTAGTCACCTCAATTTCCATTCCCACTTATGCTGGTCACCTCCACCTGGTGCACTGGCCATAGCTCCATGTTCTATGGCCAATGTTAATTCTAACTCTGTGCTTTGTAGGCAAAGCTCCTTTGGCAAGCTAGCACATGGAGATGCTCCCAGTTATGCTCACGTTTCCACTACCGACACTTCCAGATTTACCCATACAATCCTTACTGTAGTGCCTCTGGCTTTTCCTGTGCATGCCTAGCTTGGCATTGCTCGGCTCCGCGTGGCCCTGGCGCCGGCTTTGTATGCTGTTGTACAGCCCAAGGGTGCGGCGCTTGGCTTTGCGCACGATGTGGCAGACGTATTGGAAGATCTCCTCGTAGCAGTCTCCCGGCTCCATGTAGCTGGCGACGGTGCTGGAGGAGAGGTACCGGGCCCGCTGCTCCTGCATCAGCTGGTGCTCCCGCTGCTTGGTCTCCGAGAACTGCGTGGCGATGACCACCAGGCACAGGTTAATCATGAAGAAGGAGCCCACCTAGTAGCAAAGGAGAAGGAGGGACAGGCGATGTCAGTGTGAGCAAGGATATATGGCAGGGGGGACAGAAGAGAGAGGAGGGGAAGGTGAACACAGGAACTAGAGCTACCATCAGTCTGCATATGGAGATGGGATTTCAGGAAAAGCCAGCATTGGCTGAGATTACTTTTGGGAACTCACTCCCTGTTGTTTCCCTACAGAATTTAGAGCTCTGAACGGAAATTCGGGAAACACAAGTCCTAATTTTGGCTCTTTTGGCAGGGTTTGGGACCTTTAGCAAGTCACTTAGTACTTACCTACAAAGGGTTTGATGAAAATTGGACTTTTTCTTTCCCTCTCCTTTGTCTTAAATAGAAGATGGGAAGAAGGATTATTTTGGTTGCTTTATCCTTTTCTTGCTCATTTACTACTGGAAAAATCATGCACTGTCATTTACGGTCTTCAACTCTTGGAGGACACGTCAGTGTTCTTGGGGCATTTTATTTATTTCTATCATTTACACCATAAAGGGAGATGGCACTTTGCTGAAATGAATGAGCTCTTGAAATTGGAGTTTACAAAAACTAATGATTTTGAGAAGGACTCTAAATAGTCTGTCAAAACAGTATTTCTTTGCTCAATTTCCATTCTTCTGATTCTTCTGAGACCAGACATTTTATAATTGCTCTTATTTTACTTGTCCTCCAGCCTAGGTGGATTTTCCATGTCAAATACAAAAACAACCACAGCTCATTCCACCAGTTTCTCAGAAATGAAACAAAAATCCCAAGTTCTTGCTATTGTCCCTACAGAAGCCAAAAAGGCATTCCACCAAAAGGTGGAATTATTTTTCAGGAAGTACCCCAGCTTGTACCTACCCAAACAGCATTCCCCTTAGTGCACAGCCCTTGCCACTTTCCCCACAAGCTTGTCTCCTTGTAAATCCCTTTCTCTTGCACACAGGTGCCCAGCAGCTCAATATAGTGGCTCTCACTATTTCAAAGGGGAGATGTCCCTGCTAGCATCTGAATAAGCCTTTGAAACATGAAGCCCTTCCCAAACAGATTCAGCATAAGGACAATAAACCGTTTCAAAATAATGGGCTTTTTTTTTCCCTCTTCCTCTCAGCACCCTTCAAAGCTGTTCTAATTCTGTTTCCCTTCATCACTGAGCCCTTCTCAGTGATGAAATCTATTTTCCCTTCAGCTTCTGTACATGGCCTTGAAACGAAAAACAATGCCTCATTTGGATCCCTTCTTCACCTGCCCCCAAGGAGCTCTGTAGTCCATGATCTCTTACGTGTTTTCACTGATGAGGGTATGACTGGGAACCCAAATTCTCCTCCAGCATGCTCCCTTGACCTCTTCCCCCTCAGCACCACATGACCCTCACAGGCTTTATCTGTTCAGTTCTCTCCCTCGGCTTGCCCTGAGTGAGGCAGGGCTGGGAGCTGGATACCTGCTGTGCATTTCTGAAATGCAAATTGCCTTCTCTCTAGGCAACAAGCAGAGAAGCTGAGGGCAACAAGATGCCCTCAGCAGGGTCATACTTAAAGCCTGGGGTTGAATCCTGAGGGGGGTTCAGGTTTCGCATTGCCAAGCCCTGTTCTTGCAGGGAATTGTTTGCTATGATCAGATGACTGAAAAGGGGAGGAGTGGGAGGACTGGATATGGCAAGTAGTCCTTGAACGTCTTAGCTAGAACATCAAACACAAAACAAAGGAGCTTGCTTAATCCTTAAGACGCGAATCCACAGACTCTCAAGATCTGCTGAGCTTGTCTCTACCTCCCAAGCAGCACTATGAAGGAAGGGTCCCAGATGGCTTGTGACTGAGCTATCCATCTCAGCCAGCTGAGCGGCGAGACCACCAGTGTCTGACACAGAGTCAGACAAAGTATCTGACAGAGCCAGAAGGAGACCATTGATGCAAAGCCCCAACACAAGGAGTGTCCGTTCAGTCCCAGGCCTGAACTTTGTACTGAGCTGTACATTGATTAAGCTGAATCCCGGCCTTGTTCAGCCTAAGCTTGATCCCTGTTTCTACAATATCTAATAAAATCTGACTGGTGCTGAAGATGCTGACTTACTTGCCCATTATTTTTATTGCTTATTCCAGAATATCCAGCTTGTCTTCTGAAGCTCACATACGTAAGAACAGGGCACTTCCAGGAGGCCTAAGTGTTGCAATGTGGATGCAAACATGAGAGTTCAGAAGAGCCTGAAGGTTTCTCTAGTCCAGGAACAACACCAGTAGCCAAGCAGCTGAAGTGGTGACGTGGAGAAAGCTAGACTTCAAGCAGGAAGACCCAGATGGAGCACTGACCCAAGAAGTGAAAGCAGGCCTTCCTTAATGCCACCTCTCTAGTCTCCAGCAGAGCCAGAAGCTGTTTATAAGTTGCTGAATACACATGTTTTTACTAGGTTGCTCTGCAAGACCACTCAGAGTGCCAGGATCAGACGGTGCTCTTCCCTTAAGGACCATGTCAATGCAAGAGTCCTAGAAAATGCTGAGAATGTATCCAGGTGGTGGAGCCTTCTTCCCTCCTTATGAGCCGTAACAGGTAATGCCTTTACACAGGTATTTGAAGATACCACTGTGAAGGATGGAGAAGACATAGATGAAAGCATAACTCTAAGGAGTTGTCCGTGGAGATCCAGCCCCAGAAGAATGAGTTTGAGCCAAAGCTAAGAGGTATGTCGAAAAGCAGAGAGCCAAGGCCTGAAGTATGACTGTCAGAGCAATCCAGTTTAGAAAGCCAGGCCTTTCAACCATGAAGAAGGAGGGCAAGATAAAGGCCACAAGCACTGTGCTTCATAAGACTTGAAGAGGAAATGTCATTGCTGTAAGAAGAATTGGAGGGAAAATGACACCAAGTGACAGCAAGTTCACGCTGTGGTTTTGCTAAGTGCTGCAACAGCACCCTGGAAAGATGCATTACATGTGCAAAGAAAGTAACAGAAATGCTAAATCCTTTCTTGCTGTAATTCCACCAAAGGCAAAGGAAATACCCTATTTTAGCATAAGGCTTCTCTGTTCTAAGAAGTCCCCAGAGCAAGTTGAGGTTCATGTGCTCCTGTGTTTGATGGAAATAAACCTACATGGCTTCTGCAAATGAGGAGGGCGTGTCTAGAAATGTCAATGACACTCTGCAGTGAAATCTCAGGTGGAGTGTTTAATTGAGGGTTTTCAGCTGCCTGCAAATTCAGAGACAAAGTTTGAGTCACTGGAAATCTCCATGAGGTGAGCCAACTCCGGAAGGATGATCCTGTTTCAAAACCAAAAATATCCTGACAGAATTTACATAGTTTGGAGCTGGGGCCAGAGGGAGCAGTTTTTGGAATTGGCCCATAGGAGATGGGTATGCCCACCTCAGAGGTTGAACACTGACTCTGCACAGCCCTTCCTTGCTCTGGGAGAGGCTGTGTGTGAGGCTGGGAGTAAATCCTGTGCTGAACTACTCATTATGCAAATATGGGTATCTGGCCATGCTGCTCAAAGTGATAATGCAGGTGGGTCCTAAATATCTGATGCATGATGGGAGATCTGAACAAACAATATGGGAAATTATTGTTTTCTGGGTTCACAAAAAGCAGTGGATGATTGGTTTGGCTCTGGGGATAGAGCTGTGAGGAGCTCCCCTCCCATCCTGTGCAGTCATATTTCTAGACTGACTTTCCTTGGGACTCTCCAGCCTCAAAGTAAGAGCAATATTCTTCAAGGTGTAGGCTTTAGAGATAGATACCGAGGTCCTTACAGACTAAGTGACACCTACTGTGTACAGACTGAATACTTCCCATAATACATCCTGTGTCTTTCCCTTCTACTTTAGACTTTGGTCCCCATATAGGAAAAGTGCAAGTCTCCATAAACAAAGGAAATGCCCCCTTGTTAGAAACAGGACATTCACTCCAAAAAAGAAGTGTTTATAATTGGGAGGAGGCTTGAAGAATGGAAGAGACAATGGCATTGTCTTTCTCACCTCTCCTTCCAGGCACAGACAACAAACATCCTTACAACAAAACAATCACCTTCAACCTTCACATATATAAATCCACAGGGCTCAAAAACTGCTTATGAAGTTCTCATCACTGACACGCTGCTCTCCTTCCATCCCCACCAGCCACAAGTGATCTCACGCAGCCAGTTTATGTTGGATTGATGACACTTTGGGAGCAGCAGCTCCTTTGTGTTCTCAGAGAGGAAGTAATTCAGCATGACAGACCCTGAATCTGACAAAATCCGAATCTGAGACCCTGAATCTGAGAAATCCAGGTGCTGTCAGTAGCCGTAAAACAGGAATGATTCAAGAGTTTCAAATGCACAAAAGACAAAGTAGGAGAAGAGGTGCAGAAATGGTTTTGTGTACTTTTGGGCCTACTGTTTTGAGGAATTTACTACGAAAGAAGATGTTTGTATGAATACATTATCCTACATTGGGTATTGATTTTCTAGGAGTAAATCCTGAGCATTTTCTTTGAGAAAAAGAGAAGAGCCTGACTGACAACTATGTGATCCTGCTGCTCACTGTTGGAGAAAAAATTGAGCTGGATTCAAGAGACCAAGTGGAAATCCAGGTACAGTAGTTTGCTACCCAGTATATGTGTTGACCTAATTCCTGACCTTTTATAGACTCTTAGCTTGCAATGCTGAGACTCATTGAGTCTTATACTTACAATTATCAGCAAGATAAAGTAGATAAAATTGTAGAATGAATGGGCATCCATCACATAGTACATGATCTCCACCCACCCTTCCAGTGTGATCACCTGAAAAGACAAGCAACAAAAAGAGAATCAGGAGAGAAGTGGGCTTCCAGAGTTCATTTATCAGCGTACACAGGCAGATACTGGCGAGGCTGCTGCAAACCAAGGAAGGTGAGGAACAAAAATTCCTTTCAAGGAGGCCAAATTTCCATTCCAGGAAATCAGCATGGTACTGCTTGGTGACACTGGCATACTGTCAAAGCCTGTGAGATCATGCTAGCCCACAGCAGGAATATTTCATTAAAATAGTTCATTTCCCTGGATCACAGCAGGGGGAAACCTGCAGCAGGTTTCTGTGGCCCTTGGACTGGACACTGCGTACAGCCAGTGGAAAAGAAAAAAAAGGCAAGGATTTTAGCTCTGATCTGCAACAAATGCTGGGAATTAATAAATAAATAAATAAATAACAGACTCCTTTGTTGCAACGATCTGGATTGAAAAAAATAAAAATAAAACAGGTACAAGTCAGCCTGACGGGTGCCTAGAACAGCTCTACATCCCTACCCATCTTCAGGAACACTATGCAGTAAGCACTTGGTCTCACTTGCCAGAATAGTTGCAATGCCCCTTTCTTTCCGCAGCTGTATCACACCCCGCAGAAAACATCATGGGATCAAAGATAGACTGAAATTGAAAAAAATAGTTGAGCTTTGTTTTTACCTGAAATATCACAATCCAGGCATACCCAATATTGTCAAAGTTGATGGCACCCTTGTGCGGGTTGGCGTTTCCTGTACGGCACACGTTGTAGTACTGGTTCCAGTTGACACACATGCCACTGATGTTGAACTCTTGCCGGACTGAGTTGTAGTAATAATAATCGTCCTTGTCCAAACAACACTCATGGCCCCGCTCCTTCAGGGGCGGGATCTCGTGACAGCCCATGATTCCATTGTCTCCTGACAGCGAGCAGATAAAGGGCATCTCATCATCTTCCTCAGGCTGGTAATAAGGTGGCAGGACAATGTCACCTTGTCTGCAAGGTTAAAAAACACAGTCATAATCTTGCTGCAGCAGATGTTTTCCCATCAGGGATATTGTTGGAGCTGCCGTTCTGACAGGGATGGCACTGACTAAAGGATTTCCAGGTCTATTTCTTCAAGAGAAAGTATGGAAGGACAGGGCTGCTGGAAAACAGAGTTTCCAGGGGTCTGTCCCCAGTTTTCAGAGCTTTGTCTTCCATTACAACACCCCAATCCAAATTACACAATCTCCTTGCATGGAGATGGATAGAAGCTGGAATGCAGACATTTGCATTCTGATCACTCTTCCCATTTGCATCAAACCTAAATCAGATGCAATGATATTAAGGAAGTTCATCAGGATTTAATGTGATGTGCTCATGTATGTTACTGTTGATGGACATGTTTTATAACATTTGGCACTGAACCTTCTGTACTTCCAGAAAAAAAGAAAAAAAAAAGAGAGAAAAAAAAAAGAAAAGAAAAAAGAAAGAATCCAGTTTTTGCATAATTAAGATTGCTCAGCTAAACCTTAAAATCAGGAATTGCAAAGTTAAAGTTGACGTAACCTTAATTTTGACTCTTCTTTGACAGTTGGCATTATGGGTATAATGTTTCATGACAAGTTCACGTGCTTTTTCCCAAATAACGCAGACACCTTCCAAATGCATGAATAATTAAAATCATCTATGCTTGCCTAACTGGAGATGAGATAATGATAAGGATATGAAAGGTGGAGATTTAAATTTTTCCATTGAACTTTATCTGGCATACTTGCATTCCTTGCAGTGCTACAATACACAGCCTTCACGTTGCATGAATGTAGACTCTTTCTCCACGTGTCATTGGAAGGGGACAGGTGTTGATGAAAAAGGAAAGAGAAAAAGCCTCCGATTCTAAGCTAACTGGGACTCAACCACAAGCTTCTGTCATTACACATTCGCGTCACTGATGAACTAGGCGCCTGCAGACTTTGTTTCTCCAATAATGGTCAGTCAAAGATTATCCAGTATCTGTCACTTTGCAGGCTGTGGCCCCAATTCACTTCTCAGTTACATCAACTCTGCTTGGATTTAATTACACTCATTAAAGTACTACTACTGTGATTTACATAAAGGCCAATCATCCTAAACATCCGTTTCTCCCCAAGGAATATATAAACTCTGTAAATGCCTGCTTTAAGTAGCTCCTTCTCTCCAACCCCATTGCTGTTCTGCAGATTGCATTTTCACACTTATTTTTTTTCCCAATTTGAAATGATCTAAAGCTTCAGAATTGTTTAATCAGTTTAAACTGATCTATGGCGTTAGCTTTTTTAAAGCAGTCTAAACTGATCAAAGGTCTGGAGTTACTATATGGTTTTAAGAAGGCATTTTAAAGCTGGAGATCAGTTAAAGCCAGAAAGTCAACAGGAGGAGCTGTGCTTTGCTCATGGGGAGGGTAATTGGAAAGTTTGCTGTGGGCAGGAGCTTTCCTACCCCACTGCTTCCAGGGAGGAGGAGAGCTGTGTCCTGCAGGTTCCCCTGACCCCTCCATGATGAACCTCAGACACCTGTAACCAGCTCCTGTGTGGCTCCAGGCTCTTTGCCAGAACTGTGCCCACTTTTTCATGCATCTGCTTGTTCCATTCAAGCACTCATTCTTCTGGGAGAAAGACAACATGGCTGATGTTCCTGAATTTCAGCTCTTTCTGGGAGGAGGAGCAGAATCTCTGGGCACAGCTGGAGGAGACCGCTACGCTAATTTGTGCCTAGCTGAATCCCAATGATCCCAGGCACCTATGTACTATAAAAATGGGCTGAAATCCATATGCACCTGCCTTTACCCTACCTCCCTCTTCAGTCACTGCAAGACATGGCCAATGTTCTGCACCATATTCCCCTACAGCTGTTTGGAAGAAGCAATACGCAGAGAGCCAGGCAGCAGAAGACGAGAGAGCAGGGACGGGGAAAGAAAAACACCCTTGGAAGAAAAGAAGGGACATCGCCTCTCAGGCACTCACATTGTGAAGTTCTCCTCCATGAAGCAGCGGTTGCGGAGCAGCCCAGCCCACAGCTGCACCCCGATGATGCCGAAGATGAAGAAGACAAAGAAGCAGAGGAGGAGGACGTTCCCCAGCATGGGCAAGGTGTCCAGGAGCAAATTCACAAGGATGCGCATGCCTGCGGGGGGGGAAGAGAACCAGAAGGAGCAAGTGTAGGGTGGATGGAGAGAGAGAGAAAAAGGGAGAAAAGACGGGAAAGAGGAGGAAAGAAAAGAAAAAGAAAGGAAAAATTAGAAGACGGGGAAAAAAAAAAAAAAGCCACATAAAGATAAAAAGCAGAGTGTCGGAAATTAATTACTGCCCCAGTCAGGCTAGATTTATGATCGTTGCCCTTTCTTGTCCTAACCTCCACTGACAGGCAGCCAGCAGAGCTGCTGTGATGCCACGATCTCGTAACCCTAGGCCTCTGTCTGCAGCACCGAGAAGAAAAAGGAATAAGACTTTCGGCACCATCGGCTGTTTGATTGATATTTCCCCCTCCCTCTTCCTGCAGAGAGGCAACCAAGTGAAAACTCTATCCCGAAGGTGCCCAGCAGCTCAGCGACCCCATCCTGCAGATGGCTTGGACCGAAAGTCATCCCAGTTTGATGAATGCACACCGCAACCTGGGAGAGTTGCACTGATGGTCTGAGGCCGGCCTGCCTCATGGGATGGACCTCTCCAACACAAACAACTGGCATTAATCGGTCTTCTCGGTGGCAGCCTCCATCAAGGGGTGGTCCTGGAGACCACACTGTCCTCTCTTGGCTAGTCACCCTTCCCCAGCAGGCCTAGAGCGCATGGGTAGTGGGCACGGCCCTAAACGCTGTTGGCCCAGCACCTCTGGCCAGCACAAATGTTCCCCAAATCCCCCCCACTTTTTCTTTTGTTAAATAACCTAATGAATTCTTTCTCTGGTTTTATTTCTCTCCCAGCTCTTCAGCTCACGCAGCCGCAAGCAGGGGTAAGGACAGACTTGTTTCTCCATAGAGCTAATGACTTTTCCTCTGCTCTCCAGGGATGGTGAAAAACCTAGAAATCCTTCTGAGCATCACCGTACCGCCTTTAACCCTGCGCAGTTATCTCTCCTCACCACCACAGAGGTCTCTCCCCCAGGGTCCCGGAGAGTTCCTTCACTGAAGATGTTCCATGTAGGCCAGCAAATAATTAGCTAATTAGGTATTTATAACCAGTTCATTACTTCAGATGGCAGGAGAAGGGGAAAGAAGAGGGGAAGATAAGATTAGGATTCACTGACAGCCCTCTGAGGCACAAGTTAATCCCCTTTGTATGCCCAGCGTCAAGTAATTAGCCACATGATGCTGTGCATTAGGCTGCCTCCGTTCCCCAGCTGCTCTGTGAGGTGGAGAGGGAATGGAAGTGGTGTCAGCAGGGCACGGGCACTGCAGGGAGAGGGAGGAGGGTGCCTGGTGTGGGATATTGGCCTGGTTTAGCTCAGGGGGGCGTGTTTTGGGATGGGTGGGAGATGTGCAGGGAGGAGATGCTGAAGGGTGGATCACAAAGGAGAAGGAACGATGGCGTTAGCTCTTCCAGGGGATGACTAACGCCAGGCTGTGGAGCAGCTGCAAAGCCTTGCTTGCCTGACTGCCCAGCTGGATCGCCAGCCACCGGCTAAGGCGCTTTCTAGACAGCACATCAGTAACTCAGCAGTCCAGCCGCTCGCTGGGGATCGCGGACACGCCATGAGTCACTGCTGGCTCTCTGATCTGTCACCATACAAAGCCCAGCAGCACAGGCACCGTGCCCTGCTGCCTGTCTCCGTGACCTCCCAGGCTCTGCAGCAGCGCTCTGTGCATCACTTCACGTTCCCAGCATTAACACTGCTACAGCATGAGCTCCTAATGCCCATAAGCTGCCCTGGTCAGTACGTTAGGGAGAGCCAAGTAACACAGGAATAGACACCAGCGTTGCTATACCAGCAACGCTGCAAGAGGGGGTGATGTATTTCAGAGCAGTGGCAGCAGGAACAATTAGACTGCCCTGCAGCTGAAAAGCAGAGCACTTGTCCCACAGGGGATTTCACAGACAAAACACTTGCTGGGCCAGAATTTGCTGATTTTGCAAAAACGGATTTTGGTTTTGTTCCACAAGAAGATGAGTGGCTTGCAAAACTTGCCTGCCTTTTTCTTGGAAGCCTCCTGCCTGCCCATACGTTCTCCCTCCTGACTCTCAGAGGAGGATACAGGACAGCCTTACCCACAGCTCCAGGATCACAGCCATTGCCCTCTTGCTAGGCACACTGGCATACCTGGGCCCCCAGCATCAGGCAGGTGGCCCCAGAGCATGGCATCTTTTCCACGTCACAAAGAATTTCAGCATTGGTAGGTTCCATTTCTACGTCCAAATTAAACCCAGTTTTGATTTTAAAAACTCCTCCATTTGACAACCCTCATCCTTCCCTGCCCGTCGATGCCCACTGTGGATGTGAATAGGAACACTGAACTTACATCCATCCAAACAGCAATTACAATTCTCCTGTGGAACACCTGCCTCACTTCGAACAAAGGCTCTTTTGCTTCCTGCCCTAAACTGCAAAACAATTGCTTTGGGAACCCATTTTGCAGTCCCTTGGCCCTGGGAAAGGGCAGAGTGGTCTGGCAGCCATGCTATAAGGCACCTGCTGCAGATCTCCAAGGAGGAAGGCTCACTGCCAGGCATCTCAATGCCTTCACAGGCAGGAGGGAACCAGCCCCTGCAGAGCAGCACGTGTTGGGGTCTGCAGAGCCTGAGCAGGGGTTCCTGCAAACGGTCCCTGTTTCTTCAAGCACCCAAAAGGTGTGGGGGAAAGGAGGAGAAAGGCTGAAGGATGGAGCGTGGTGATTTACTCAAGACCCTGGCTGAGGCTGAAGTCTCCAAAGCAACCAAAAGGCAATGGAAATGGCCAGAAGGCAAGGCAGGGGTAGCAGCGTGCTTGTCAGTGCATCTTTGGGTGCATCCTGCCCTGGAGAGCTGTGACACCTCTCCTTTCTGAGGGGTCTTTGCTGGACAGCCCCCATCCACAGTGACACTGCTGTGTCCTGCACAACGGCTTCTAGAAGGTGCTGGAAAGCTGCTTCTTCAGCATAATTCCTGCTGCTGCTTCTCTGCCCCTTTACTTTTCTCTTGCTGTGACTACAGAGATCTCATTCTGCCTTTCCCCTGCTCCACAGCGTCCGTGCACACCTCTCCCAGCCTGCCTCCTCCTCACCCCACCGCTGCCCTTCCCCAGTCCCCGTGTGTCCTTTACCATTGGCAGAGCAGAAGCCACGCTGGCTCACAGCAAGGAAGGAATATGAAAGGGACAATGACCTTTTCTGAAGCAGCTTTTGCAAAAAAAAAAAAAAAAAGATGTTCACTGAAAAGAGAAAGGAAGAGGGACCACGTAGTCCAGAGGAAAAGCAGGGAGGGAAAGCATTGATGAAGCAACATTCAGCAACCAAACAGGCTCCCAGGGCATCAAATATGAAAAGGTTTTGCTCTTCAAGGGGAAGAAAAGCTAGAAACATGAAATATTCATGAGTGCCAGGTGTGGGCTCTGAAAGACCTTTTCTCCTCCCTGCTCACCCTCATGAGGAGGCCAGGGGAAAGGAGAAAATAAAATGACATCTGCTGTGGGCATCCGAGGAAGGATCCTCGCAGCCAAGCGTCTGAAAATGAGCCTCAGATAATGCTTCCCTGTTGCCCTGTGCCCTCAGACAGGGGCAAGGGATGGGGAAAGGAGTGTGATGGGACCTCACCAGCAGGCCATTCCTTGTAGCAAGGCTGCGGGCACGGCAGGGATGCGTTCACGGCTCCAACACAGCAGCAGACATCGGCTGCAGGGGTGAGGCGTAGTGGGAGGCAGAGGAGTGCTGGCATCCAGAGGCCCTTCCTGACAAACTCTGCAGATGCTACAGCGACCGTAGCTCCCCCGTGACACTTGCTGTCAGCCCCGATTAGCTCGGCTGTCATGGCTGAAGCCTCCCCAAGCAGACTCGCCCAGCACATGCCCGGGCAGGGCTGGGGAGGAGGCGAACTCCTGGCAGGTGTGCCCGCTGCTCACCAGCACCTCTCCCTGCTCCCATGGCACTTCTCTGTTCCTTTGGGGCTTTTTATTGCTTTTTCTCTCCTCCTGCCTCTTCACAGGAGTGAGGAACAAGAGCTGGTCTAATTTGTTCCCATGCACTACCTACCTCACGATCTGAATGGGGGACCAGCTCAGGACGGGGTGAGAAACCCCGTTCTTTTTGGTTTCTTTTATCTCACCCATCTCTGAGTTTTCTGAGTCCTTCCCAAACAGGTTTAGAAAATCCTTCCTTTGCTTGGAGTAAACCAGATGGACAACAACATAATCCTCAGTACCCATCCCAATTGTATCATGGGCCAAGCCTCCAATTGTCATTGTATCTGGAACAAAAGCAAATTTCTTCCCCATCAGTGTTCATGACTGTATCTGGCAGGACATTTTGCAGTGCACAGAGCCTGAAACCTCTCTCCATCCCTCAGCCAGGCAGCTTGCCCAAGCGTGCCTTCTTTCCTTCCTCCCCTGCCCCAGGACGCATGGCAGTCCACCCAGCCAGCACCAGGTTGGCAGCGTTTTCCTGTGCAGGCTCCTTTAGGGGAATTTTCAGTGCTGAGGAACCACTCCAAGAGATGGATGGTTGTGCAGGGAGCACATAGAGAGAGCTGCACTTTTTTTTGTTTGTTTGTTTGTTTTTTGTGGCCAGCATTGGATGCATTTAGGGGAAAAAAAAAAAAAAAAAAAACAGCTTCATTGATCTCTCTGTCAGGTTTGCGGTGTGTTTTAGCATGCATTTGGGCTGGGGTTTTGCACTTGCAGGTGGCCAGCGTGATCCATGGTTTAGGAGAGGCACTAGGTCCCTCACCAACACCCTGCTCCTGCCTTGCTGCAAGCAAAGCTGCCTAACACTTCTGGCTAGCCCAGAGACCTCATCCCACTCAGCCCGTTGACGAGCTAAGCTTCAATTATCCAAATCTTTGTCCCTCCTCAGCTTGACCACAGACGCAGAAAATATCAAAGCATGACATTTCCAGCACTTACAAAGCTTCAACTCGTACAAAAAGCTGCTGTTCATTTTCTCAGCAGCATGGGCACATCAAGACTTGCCTCTGTGCACGGACTTCCCTTAGGACACTGAA